GAAAATGTGTTACAATCTACAAACTTTATTTTGGTACGACAATGTGTGACAATCTACAAACTTGATTTTGGTATGACAGTGTGTGATACTGAATCCACAAACTTTATTTTGGCATGACAATGTGTTACAATCTAAAAACTTTATTTTGGTACGACAATGTGTGACAATCTACAAACTTTATTTTGGTATATGACAATGTGTGACAATCTACAAACTTTATTTTGGCATGACAATGTGTTACAATCTACAAACTTTATTTTGGCATGACAATGTGTTACAATCTACAAACTTTATTTTGGCATGACAATGTGTGACAATCTACAAACTTTATTTTGGCATGACAATGTGTTACAATCTACAAACTTTATTTTGGTATGACAATTGTGACAATCTGAAAACTTTATTTTGGTATGACAATGTGCAACAATCTACAAACTTTATTTTGGTTTGACAATGTGGGACAATCTACAAACTTTTTTTTTTGGCATGACAATGTGCAACAATCTACAAACTTTATTTTGGTATGACTGCATGTGTGTGACAATCTACAAACTTTATTTCGGTATGACTGTGTGTGACAATCTACAAACTTAATTTTGGTATGACAGTGTGTGACAATCTACATAATTTTGGAACCTGGAGCATGTTGCTCTGCAATCTTTATCGCTCCTTTGTTTTGAGAATTGTGTTTACAGTTACATAATGTTGGTTAGTCTAACAAACTTCCCCTCTATTAGGGTAAGATCACATGTTCCTCGCCAAGGATAAACAATGATGAAGTAATGACTTTTGAATATTTTGGTAATTCTTTGACTTATCGAGTCATCCAGTTTAGATGTCTTTGCTCCAGAGATACACCAGATTCTAGTGGAAACATGCTGTCTTGTTATAATGAAGCCCTTGCTACCAGAAACAAGTATTGGAGTTGTTTATGTCTTCGATTGCTGAAGATGCACATAGACCTAGGTGAGCAACGCAGTCTCTTTACTAATAGCCTCAGAGACTAGTTTATCGTATTGTCGATAGGAGCTGTGAAATAATATTTTGATCATCTTCCCAGAACACATCAAATATCAAAGTGAAAATAAATTAGAATATTTAAAATATATCTACAAACATAAACTAAAGAAAATTGGAACGAAGAGGGTGTCCATCCCTGTGATGTGTTTCTGTATCTGCCGGATATTAGTCTCCTTCAACACGACGAAATTTCTGTTGTATACTGATCTATACTGTATTTTCTGTGTATAAACCAGGTTTTATAATCCACAATTTTCTTCGGAAATGGCTGTACAAAGTCAGGAATATGCAGGGACTATTATACTAACAGTTAGTAGATATGGAAGTATTATATTGCCAATATAATACTTCCACGGTAGATCTTAGTATAATAGTCCCAGGAATACGGCAGTTGTTTTTCGTTTTTTTCCGTGAATTGATATCGTTTGAATTTGTTGGTTTTTATGGACTCCCCTTTTTGAATTTGCCATGGAGCTCGGTATTTTTTGTTTATACTTTTAAAACAAGTTCCGTTTGGAGCTCATCTTAAAAAAGTGGTATACATATGAAAATATTCATTAATTAATCGTTCAAAGGTAGTCTTATAATAAAGATATAAACATTTGGCAGTCAAATCGTAAAGGTGTAATACTACCAAATCATAGTACGTCAATCTGGTTTCATACGAAAAAGGGTCGGAAAAAATATTCCCGTGACATTTGTACAGTAGGAAGTCACAGTTACCCTGCATTTCATCGCAGAAAAAAATTCTGAGTCATAAACAATATATCTCGGGTGTTTCAAAGCACCAATCTTTTTTATTTGGTGTTTCTATAAAATATTTTGGAAGCTTGAGGTTACATGGCTACTAATGCTTGTAAACAACGAAAAAAAGGGTGAAAATTTGATTGGTTAACTTCCAGAGATAGTTTTCAACTTGTATGCAGTGAAATGTTATGTGAAACTTTGTCTGTAATACTGGACAGGATAAAACTGTACTCATGCCAATTATTTCTTTATTTGAAACAAAGATAATTTCTGCACAATTTTAAATTATTATGACGTCTTGAAAGGCTATTCTTTTTTTTTGCTTTGACGCCTTCCTGTAACAGGCGTCAAAGCAAAAAAAATAAAATAGCCTTGCAAGACCATGAAGGCGTCATAATTATTTGGACTAGGGGAAAGTCAATGGTGGTGTGGTATTACTGAGGCTTGTATAGGGTATATTGGGATACGGGATATTTGCCATTCTAATTTTAGGGATATGGGATATTTGTCCTAAAATTAAATGGGATATGGGATATTGATGCATTTTAAGGGATATTGAATTTTGAACATGAAAAAAAAATGTGGAATTAAAAAGTTAAGTACAGAAATATTTACATCTCACTTGATAAAATTGCCAAAACTAATTTACTAGAAAAGGTCATTTTAGTGTATTGTTGATTTTTATTGTGTTAATTTTCATTACATCATAATTCCAGACAAATGAAAGCAACGGCAGTAAGAGTTATTAGTGTGTAACATCTTTTTTATAGCATATTTGTGCATAACCACGTTATATACACACTGCATCAACAGACATTAAAAAGGGGAATTTTTTGCCTACCATGAAATTGATGATACATTTATTTACGATGAGATTCTTAGAAATGGTACAATTGATTGTCATGGCATTTCTCCAGTTACAACAACAAATGAACATGGAATAACATCTTGAAGGATATATTTCTTAGATATTGATGACAAAACAGTAAAGGAAATAAATGTAGAGACCAAAGTTGTCAAACTATTGGCAGATACAGGTAGAGCTGGAAGTGAAGATGGATGTCAAACGACTGCTCAATTTCAGCAACCAACTTATGTGTGTTCAGAGAAGAATCGTGTTTGTATGTGATACTGCTGTTGGTCAAGTGAAAATGATAACTCCTAGCAGTAGTTTACTCATATATTTAGAAATTTTACACAAACTCTTGTCAACATCTTGGTTTACTAAAGACAAACAGAACTTCTCAATAGATGATGCTATTTCAAGACTAGCTGACATTGATGACTTTCTTTGTCTTTGTGACATTGAGATTAAAACAATGACATCAGAAAACCATGCTCTTCAAAGTCCAGATGATGCAAATTCAATGCAGACGAAACATGACATTTCACAGTTAATCACTGCGTTGAAAAGTCTTAGGGATGTTGTGAATGAAACAGAACCTTTATTCAAGGCAAAATTCTCGATGAAAAGTACATCCACAACCATTGTTGAATATCTTTTCTATGAGATGAGAGCCATTGATGACACACCAGTAAGGATACAATTCGCTCGCAAATTTTCAAATTGTGTACGTTAAAACACTAAATCCCTGGGATGTGTTTTTAAATTAGTTGATTTTAGTCTGTGATGCATTTATTGTTTTTGGCTTTTAACTAGCTTTCTGTAACTGCTATAGTACGCTCAAATCGTACTTTCGTGTTAATTTGACATGTTGATACAAGTTGTATATACGTGTTCAGTATGACGATAAATTTTCACTTTTGTTCTCGTACTATGAATAACAAAATTATTTATTTTGTAATAAAAAATATTTCCGTACTCCATGTATACCTTACAACAGAATTATTTTAATCTACCTGTGTACGTTATTTTATTTTGCGGCACTTTGTCCAAGGTTATGGTTGTCTTTCTGATATTGGTTTACATCTAACCCCCTTGTTTTTATTAATTTTGTATTTACATTGTGTCATAGATCAAATTTATTCGTTCAATGTATGTTCACTTGTTTTAATATGTCTTTTGATTGAGTTAAGCCATTTCAATTGATATTTCATAGTGTGTCTTTCTATGTTGTGATGTTACACTATTGTTTCAGGGTAGGGTGAAGGTTGGCGCCTATTAAAACGTTTCAACCTGCTGCATTTGTTTGCACCTGCCCTAAGTCAGGAACCTGATGTTCAGTGGTTGTCGTTTGTTGATGTGGTTCAAAAGTGTTTCTTGTTTCTCGTTTTTTATATAGATTAGACAGTTGGTTTTCCTGTTTGAACTGTTTCACACTATTCATTTTTGGGGCCCTGTATAGCTTGCTGTTGGTGTGATCCAAGGCTCTGTGTTGAAGGCCGTACTTTGACCCATAATGGTTTACTTTTACAAATTGTGACTTGGATGGAGAGTTGTCTCATCGGCACTCATACCACATCTTCTTATATCTATATAAGATCAGATATGAATGATGTCACATTACAAGAAGAGGAGGAGATGGATTTAGAGGAGGAATCTGCAACCAATGTTGACCGTTTACCCACGAGAGGAAAGAGGAAGCGAAAATCTCGATCTGTCACTGCCTTCATGTTTTACTGATTTAGTGATAATTACTTTTAAATAACATGCTTATTTCAACAATAACTTTTTATTTATCCACTGACGTTACAAACGCTTAATTATATATTGGTTATTCCAAAGACATGTAGATTTAAATTTAAAGGCCTCTGATTAATTCTGAATGATTAACTTTTCTCTGTGAAAAAGCCAACATCCTTACTACAACACATACAACATGTATTTACGAATGTTGTATACAAAAATGGGTTTGGGAATGAATCAATGATTTTTTGGGATATTTCCAATAGTTTTAGGGATACGGGATATTTGTAAAAAATATTAATTGGGATATTAGGGGTAAATATTATAGGGATATGGGATATTGGGACAAAAACTTAAAGGGATATGGGATATTGATACCCCCCTAAACAAGCCTCATTACTCCTAAATAACATATATAATCATCAAAAGTCAACTGCATACAATAGACTGGTTCTCCTGTCTAGATAAATTTTCATATTACATATTTCATATATCAAGAATTAAGTCAATGTGATTATACATAGCTGGATCCCTGTTTACTGCATTCAAAAGACACACTCTTCAAATTTTATATTTCCCGCTACATTAACTTTTCTTCTGCTGATTCCGCAACACGAAACGTTTTTAAACCAGTCGCCTCGTTTTGATAACTGTCAAATATGGAGTCGACCAACTTCCTCCAGCCACTTTGACATGAATGTGATGTTAGGTTTCCAAAATTTAAGAAACAGTCCACTCCAGTTATGGCAGAAAATGTTGTGGTGCCAACAGATATAATTCTTGCACCCAACGAATACGGCCATTCTGCCTTTGAACATGTCGATCAACTTGATTTTCTTAACGATAGTGATGGAGGGCTTCCCTTTTTTCATAGAGTTGAATCTAGCGAAGTCGTTTATCAACCTCGTCGGAAAAAAGCAAAGATGGTTGGAAAGTATCTTGTTGGCGATCTGTTAGGAGAGGGTTCATATGGAAAAGTCAAAGAAGTTATTGACACTGTCACTCTATGCAGAAGGGCTGTCAAAATTTTGAAGAAGAGGAAACTGAGAAAAATTCCAAATGGAGAACAGAATGTTTTAAGGTTGTTACTTCCAAAAGATAAAATTAGAGCGATTTAAAAACCCGAATGTGTTCTCATACTACATCATAAGAAGACAAATATATTTAGATGCAGGTTTTATTTTGACCACGTTTTGGATCTGGCAGTGTTCTAAGCCTAAGGCGATATGGTGCTGCTATCCTTTTGGCAGCAGTGCCTTCAGCATAATTTCATCGTGACCTCAGTGACTGAAAGATAATCCAGCAGCGTGTTAAATTTTCTGTGCTTCATACGCTTTTATGCCCCAATAAAATTATAAAAAGAAGAATTTATTTCTCTAATAAATAAATACAGGTGTATGTGCCATCATTCTTTAGATGAATCAAAATTTAAAACTATCAATGACAATGAAGATATATAATAATACTTAATGAAATAGTTGTTATAATGTCAGAAATAGTTCAGTATATGGATATGAATAGTATTCTGTACAGGAACTTGTGTATAGAAGCAAGGTGATTGATATTGGCTTCTTGAAGATAACATTAAACATTTATATGCTTTGATGATTGTTTCTTGAAGATAACATTGAATATTTATATGCTTTGATGATTGTTTCTTGAAGATCACATTGAACATTTATATGCTTTGATGATTGTTTCTTGGTTAGTTAATGATAACAACAATACATTTTTTTACAGGGAAATTCAACTTTTGAAGAGGCTTCACCATAAGCATGTAGTATTCCTGGATGATGTAATCTTCAATGATGAAAAGCAAAAGATGTATCCTTTATAAGTCATTATCATAAAATCAAAAAATGATAGATTTGTGTTTGCTATCTAAAAATTAAATATATATACAATATTAGGTCAATGTCAGAAAAATATATAACTTTTTTTGTATGAGGCTTAGAAACTGGGGAAGGGTGAGGTTAATTGAGAGCCCTTCAACAGTCGTGAGCCAAATACAAAAAAGTTGATATTTTTTTGACATTTACCTAATATTGTTTTTATACTGCAGCTAAAATGGCTACAGTTATAGTTCTAAAATGTAAACACAAAAGTAAAAGTTGTTTCCTTCCTAAACAAGCCCCAGATTGTGAAAAAAGTGATGTGACATGAAATCTACATTGCATGAAATATCACTTTCTTATTATACAGAAAAACTTTATAATGCAACACTAAATTATAATTTTTTGTTTTCAAATATGCAATACTTGTTAAATAAAAATATATATTTTTGTAAACATAAATTTCATGCATTACTGCATTGTCTAAATAAAGTTTGTAGTTCAAAAGTTGAATTGATTATGGCATTTTTTATGCTCAAATCATGTGCTATGCACTGAAACCCTGGTTTTCTCCTTATCAATGGATGTGTTACCGTCGAAGGCAATAACCAACAAATAAATAATAGACCGAGAGGTCAACCAGTTCTTTTTTGCATGTTTTGAGTTTCTTTTTTGTCCATTCAGAATTGTCCTATGTCTTACCCATTACAGTCTATTTTGGCAATTATGTAAGCCTTAAAAAGTTTTTTCTCCAGTTGATTCTGTGGCCTTTCAGTAAATTGAAAACATTTATGGGGTGAATCTGTCTGCCATAACATCTGATAACTTTGTAGCAGTTGACGCTACAGTCATAAACCTCTCTCGCAAATGGCGTTGCATGATGACATTTTATTGACGTGGGGTTGTCTCTACAGGTTGATCTAGTTATGGGTGTTCATTAACAAATCCTGTCTGTTTGTACCAATGTTGTAAGGACTTTAAGAGGGGAAAGATTCTGAGGTGAAATTGTCTTGCAACAATATGTTCACTTATTCCTGCTTGCGACATTCTTTTGGACCAATTCAGATTTTCATTGCTCAGTCTAATTTTTTTAATGGTTTAAATGGGGATATGGATTCAAAGAAGTGAACCAAGAAAAAAAAATACTTGAAAAAGTCATGCATTGGTTTCAAATTTAGCTTTTAGAAATTTGTGAGATGTCAATAATCTAGTATGTTCAATTAACTCAGGTAAGTAAGATATTGAATTTTTCTAAGCAGAAAGAAATAAGATAATCATGAAAAGCAATTATATGAAGATTAATCATGATATGGTAAAAAAAAAATGTTTGCATTTTTAAAGTCTGTCAGTACATATTTGGTAGATAAAAGACAACAGGAAAGATTGCTAGCTGCAGTATAAAGAGTCATAGGAGAAAAAAATGATAGGATTTTTCAAAATGATAGCTTTATTTAAGTGTGAGGATTCATTTATATTTTTTTGTTCCAATAATCATGGAGTCAGATAAATTTGTTTCTCTTTCAATTGTATAGTAATATTTGATTCAATGATATTGTTAAACTTCATTTTAGTGTTTGCTATGCAAACTAGACTAGGAAATAAAGATTTCTTTTGAAAAACAAATTCAACAGTGGAAATATAAACATGATAAAAACTAACTATTTCATTGTCTTTGATAATTTTTAGGATAAGAATACATGTATATGTATTACAATGTCAATATGATCGGGGTAAACTTATCACTCCTTTAAATAAACTTATTCTCAATGGTTTATACCAATTCAACACTGTAATTATATTGTTGTCCCCCTGCGCGTTGCGGGGGATATAGAAATACCGGGCATCTGTCGTTAGCGCACTCATGTGTTCAATTCTTGCCAGGTCTTTATGAAACTTATATCATAGGTTTATATCAACAATGTCTTTGGCAAGTCCGAAAATCAGTGCCGATCAATTATTTTTTAAAAGAGTTATGTCCCTTGGAAACATTAAATATATGGAAAATTGCATTGTTAGCACTCTCATGTGTACAATTCTTGCCAGTATTTTATGAAACTTAAATCATAGGTTTATAGTAGCAATGTCTTTGACAAGTTAAAAAATCAGTGACAATCAATAATTTTTAAAAGAGTTATGCCCCTTGGAAATATTAATTATATGGAAAATTGCCTTATGAACGCTCTAATGTGTACAATTCTTGCCAGATATTTATGAAATTTATATTATAGGTTTATATCATCAATGTCTTTGAAGAGTCCTAAAATAAGTGCTGATCAATTATTTTTGAAAGAGTTATGCCCATTTGAAATATTGATTATATAGAAAATTGCATTGTCAGTGTTCTCGTGTACAATTACTGCCAGAATTTTATGAAACTTATTTCATAGGTTTATATCAGCAATGTCTTTGACACCTTCGAAAATAAGTGCTGATCAAAAAAATTTTAACGAGTTATGCCCCTTGGAAATATTAATTATAATGGAAATCACATTGCATTTGCTCTGAAGCCTTCATTACTCTAAGATGCAAATAAAAAGTTTTAAAGAGCCAAAAACAGTGCTTTTTTTAGTTATTGCCCTTGTACCTTGGATAGATAAAATATGAGCAATGCGGGGGTCATTGGAACTCTGTTCTTTTGTTTTTTTATTTTTATAAATATTTTATTTGTTATCAGTAAATTAAAACCATACGAAATATTATTGTTCTACACATACATAAAATGTATGCACATTCATGGTACTACAATCTGTAGATACCTATATTTTGGCATTGCATAAGGTCATGTTTTTCTCTGGCTGTAAATGATGCCTTTACATTAAATCCATTGGATGCTTAATGTGTACTGATTGATATTTTAGTCTTAGATTTATGATTTATTTTATTGGTTGTTATTGGCTTTGAACTAGCTGTCAGTAACTGCTAGTATTCTCAGATCTTTACTTTGAATTTTTGTTGTTGTGAGGGATGTATAATTGCCCTACAACGATTGGTCTGTGTTATTGTTAAATGTATTTCTGTTTTATATGGATCTAATGAGTTAAACCCTTTTCAACTGATTTTTATGGTTTGTTCTGATGTTCTGATGTTGTACTGTTACACCACCGTCCAAGGTAAGGGGAAGATTGGCACCTTCAAACATGTTCCACCTTGCCACATTCTTTATGTGCCTGTCCCAAGTCTGGAGTCTGTAGTTCAGTGGTTGTTGTTGGTTCATGTCTGTTATATTTGTTTTTTCATAAAATGTTTTGTTATAAATTTGGCCATAAGATTTCTCAATTGAACTGTTTCATATTTTTCATGTCTGGGCCTTTTATAGCCGACTATACGGTATATATGTGTTTTTTTCATTGTTGAAGGTCATACTTTATTTTTTGTTCCATATGTCTGGAATTTCCAACACCAGACTTTCCCACACCTTGTTAAAAAAGAAATAGAACATTTGCATCCACAGCCACCTCATAAACCACTGACTGGATAATTCAGTGTTCTCGCCAGAGTGTAATAGCACCATGGTGATATTTTTACCATGGTTCTATATATGAATATATATAGATTTTATAATAGAATATATTACGAATGTGATAACCATAATTTTAGGGAAACAGTGCTATTTGAAAATACTGGGAAAAACACTGTCTGATTACAGAGAAACTTTCACAAAATCATCCAGACATACAGACATAACATCATTGTGCAATTCCTTTTTGTCGAGCCTTCGACTTTTGTCGAAAAAGCGAGACATAGCGATCCTACATTCCGTCGGCGTCGTCGTCGGCGGCGGCGTCCACAAATATTCACTCTGTGGTTAAAGTTTTTGAAATTTTAACAACTTTCTTAAACTATCCTGGATTTCTACCAAACTTGGACAGAAGCTTGTTTATGATCATAAGATTATATTCAAAAGTAAATTTTGTAAAAAAAAAATTCCATTATTTCCGTATTTTACTTATAAATGGACTTAGTTTTTCTGCCAGGAAACATTACATTCACTCTGTGGTTAAAGTTTTTGAAATTTTAATAACTTTCTTAAACTAACCTGGATTTCTACCAAACTTGGAAAGAAGCTTGTTTATGATCATAAGATAGCATCCAGAAGTAAATTTTGTAAAAAAAAAATTCCATTTTTTTCTGTATTTTACTTTTAAATGGACTTAGTTTTTCTGCCAGTTAACATTACATTCACTCTGTGGTTAAAGTTTTTAAAATTTTAACAACTTTCTTAAACTATCCTGGATTTGTACCACACTTGGACAGAAGCTTGTTTATGATCAAAAGCTAGTATATATCTAGAAGGAAATTTTGATCAAATTTTGTTCCATTTTTTCCGTATTTTACTTATAAATGGACTTAGTTTTTCTTCCAGTCAACATTACATACAGTCTGCAGTTTAAGTTTTTAAAACATTTATTAGATTCATAAATTATCCTGGATTTTTACCAAACTTGGACAGAAGCTACTTACAATCAAAAGATAGTAAAGATAGAATATTTTTATTAATTTTTTTCCTCATTTTTGTTGAGCCTGCGATTAACAGCAAAAGTAGCGAGACACTGGGTTCCGCGGAACCCTTACTAATTTTTTATAAGCTTAAGCGCACCTCACAAACTGGTTTGTATATTTTTTGTTATAAATGTGTAATTGTTTTCCTTAATCAAATATACAGGTATATATTTATGGAGTATTGTGTATGTGAACTTCAAGAAATGTTAGAAAGTGCACAAGATAAAAAGTTCCCAATCTTTCAGGCCCATTAGTAAGTAAAAAAAGATAAAAATTATACAGAAAATTGCATTGTTAGCGCTCTCAAGGCTATATTACCTGTAGAAGGATTTTTATGAAATTTATATCGGAGGTGTATATCAGCAATGTCTTGGATGAGTTTGAAAATAAGTGCCTATTAACTATTTTTACATGAATAATGTCCCATGGAAATGTAAACTCTATTGGAAAATTGAACTGTAAGTGCTCAGAAGCCTACTTTCCTTGTCAGATTTTTACGAAATTTGTATCAAAAGTTTATGGCTATGACTTTGACAAGTTTAAAAAATCAGTGCCGGTCAATATTTTTGATATAATGTCCCTTTGAAGTGTGAATTCTATAGAAAATTGCATTGTGAGCACACTCACTTCTACATATCTTGTCAGATTTGTATGAAATTTATATCAAAAGGTATAGATCAGCACAGCCTGGGTATTGTTTGGTAATCAGTGCCAATCAACTTTTTTTCCGCAGTAATGCTCCTTGGAAATAAAAATTATGTGGAATATATCATTGTAAATGATCTCATGCCTACTTTTCTTGTCAGATTTTTATGAAACTTAAGTCAAAGGTTTAAGTCAACACAGCTTTGGATGAGTTTGAAAATCAGTGACAATCAAGTATTTTTACAGGAGTTAAGCCTCTTGGAAATAGGAATTATATATGGCAGGTTTATTTTGTCAACAACATTGATAGGTATAAAAAAGTTATATGAACTGAATCACTGATATAGTATAAATATAAGAATATATCTTTTCAGTTATTTTAAGCAGTTAGTAGATGGATTGATATTTTTACACAGCCGAGGAATAGTCCATAAAGATATTAAACCTGGTAACCTGTTACTAGCCAGAGATGAGACTTTAAAAATCACAGATTTTGGTGTGGCTGAGGTAAGCTCACAACCCTTAACATGGCCTAAAAACAGGCCACAACAAAGAACATTGCTCCGGAATAGGAATGTTAACAGCAATGAATTTGGCTGTAAATCAGTTCACAACAGTAAACATGGCCATCGGAATAGTTCATTAAAAGGAATATTGCTCTATAACAGTTCAAAAGTGCAATGAATATAATTCCCTGGATCAGTTGACAACAATAACATGTCTTTAGATAATATAACTATATAAATTGGTCGAACAGTAAAAGTTTATAACAAAAATTAGACTGGGAAAATAAACATTCACAGCAAAAAAAGGTTTATAAACAGTCACTGCACTGTACATGGTTATGCAACAAAAAGACATGCAGTCTTCACCAGTCTAGGCTTGTAACATTTCTATCTTCTGCAGGCCAATAGCATCTACTGTAAATTCAGAAACTATTGCTTGCATTTATTATTGCGATTTTTGAAGAAAGGAGAAAAATGCACGATTAATTATTGTGATTTCCAGAAAATCTACATACAGATATATATATCAGATATCAGAATGTGAGTTCTTATTTTTGCAATAATCACCCAGTTGGATCATTTGCAATAATAAAAACCTCACAATAATCTCAGAATTTACAGTATACAAAATGTTAAAAAAATTGAGCGTCGGGCATGTGGCTGTAAAAGTTTATCTTGGAGACTACAATACTTCAATGTAAATAATATACACATGTTGACCTCTACATGTCTTTGGTTTTTATAGGACCGCAAAAAAATTTTGCAGTCGTATATTGGTATGACGTTGGCGTCGTCGTCGTCATCCGAAGACACATTGGTTTTCGCACTCTAAACTTAAGTTTAAGTGAATGGATCTCTATGAAATTTTACCATAAGGTTTAATACCACAAAAGGAAGGTTGGGATTGAGTTTGGGGGTTATGGTACCAACAGTTAAGGAAAAAGGGGCCAAAAATAAGCATTTTTGTAACTTCCAGACATAACTTGTGTGTTAGTGTATAGATCTCTCTGACATTGTACCTCAAGGTTCCATATCACAAAGGGAATGCTGGGATTGATTTTGGGGGTAATTGCCTCAAAATTTTAGGAATTAGGGGCCAAAAAAGGGACAAAAACAAGCATTTTTCTTGTTTCATGACAATAACTTGTGTGTAAGTGTATGGATCTTTCTGAAATTGTACGACAAGGTTCCATATCACAAAGGGAAAACTGGAATTGAGTTTGGGGGTAATTGCCCAAAACGTTTAGGAATAAGGGCCAAGAAGGGGCCAAAAATAAGCATTTTTCTAGTTTTCAGACAATAACGTGTTCAAGTGCATGGATCTCTCTGAAATTGTACTGCAAGGTACCATACCACAAAGGGAAGGCGGGGATTGATTTTGGGGTTAATTGTCTCAAAATTTTAGGAATTAGGGGACAAAAAGGGACAAAAATCAAGCATTTTTCTAGTTTCATGACAATAACTTGTGTGTAAGTGTATGGATCTTTATGAAATTGTACTACAAGGTTCCATATCACAAAGGGAATGCTGGGTTTGAGTTTGGGGGTAATTGCCCTAAACGTTTAGGAATTTGGGGCCAAAAAGAGGCCTAAAAACAAGCATTTTTCTAGTTTCCAGACAATAACTTGTGTTCAAGTGTATGGATCTCTCTGAAATTGTACTGCAAAGTACCATACCACAAAGGGAAGGCTGGGATTGAGTTTGGGGGTGATGAATCATAGGGGGGTTCAAAAAATTTGGGGGAGGGATTTTTTTTTCCTTTTTTTCCCTTTTTTTTCTTTAAAATTTTCCATTTTGAATTGGTTATTTCTGATTTAGATATAAGAAGATGTGGTATGAGTGCCCATGAGACAACTCTCCATCCAAGTCAAAATTTATAAAAGTAAACCATTATATGTCACAGTACGGTCTTCAACACGGAGCCTTGGCTCACACCGAACAGTAAGCTATAAAGGGCCCAAAAAAATTACTAGTGTAAAACCATTCAAATCATTATATATAAAAGCAAATAATAATGATATGGTTTGAATAGGTAAATGAAATTTTTTTAAGTTCTTAGACCACATTCATTCTGTGTCAGAAACCTATGCTGTGTCAAATATTTAATCACAATCCAAATTCAGTGCTGTATCAAGCTTGAATGTTGTGTCCATACTTGCCCCAACTGTTCAGGGTTGGACCTCTGCGGTCGTATCAAGCTGCGCCCAGCGGAGCATTTTATTTGTGTTGTTGAGGTGCTATCCAATTGACACATACACCACTTACTAATGATTTAATTCTACTTGATTTATAGAATGAGGTAGTGAGATATTTCTCTTTTGGATGAGATAATATATAGCCATAAGAATTCATTGCAGAACAAAAAAGACTGAATTCATTTATTTTCTCCAATTGAGGAAAAAATGTATTTTTGTGGATATTTGATTTTGGGGTTTTGCCAAAGTCAGTATACAAATATTTATACTCCTTGAACATTTAAATTGATAGTAACCTATACCCACAAGATCTATGAAAGTTGGTACCCTAGGGGAAAAAATGAATCCTATGTATTGTGTTAATTTAGTGAACCGGTTCATTTTGCTTTTGTTATACTACATGTAAAATATCAACTATAATACCAGAAAAGGTAGTTAATATTAGCAATCAACTGGTATAAGTATTCCAATATACTGAATCCGAGATAATTATTGAAAATAAAATAAAAAAGGTTTATAAAGATGAATTTTGTAGGAGATAGCTTTACATGCATTTGATGACACGTGTCACACAAGTCAAGGTTCACCAGCATTCCAGCCACCAGAAATAGCCAATGGTGAAGACAGTTTTCCAGGGTTCAAAGTTGATGTTTGGTCCAGTGGTGTTACATTGTAAGTACAGGGATCTCTGCCATTCGGGATAAGTGAGTGGATAAGGTGGATAAGTGTCCTACATACTTTCAATGGGTGTCTTAAGGCATGTGGTGGTATCTCTCTCAGATTTTAAATTCAGATAGTATTGTCACTTGATTTCCCTGATTGATTTCCTTCAGACCTTTTGTACAATGTTTAATAGGATAGAGCTACTACTAGACAAATTTGTCTCTAGCTGTTTCATTCTTGTACACTTAAAATTTGAATTTTTAAATATGATATATTAACTTTACATTTTATAAACAATGTAGGTGTAATACCACCAAATCATAGTACGTCACATCTGGTTGCATACGAAAAAGGGTAGAACAAAAATAATCCCTTGAATTTTTCGTTTCCGTTTTCTAACTTTAGTTTACCTCAACCAAATGTTATGAAACGTATACACAATGCTTATTACCACATAATACAGATCAAGTTCCAAATGGGGTGGCATCAATTTTATCTTTATTGAGTTATGCCCCTTTATAAACATAAAAATTGCTGAAATTTTCGTTTCTGTTCTCTAACTTTAGTTTGCCTCAACCAAATGTTATGAAACTTATACACAATGCTTATTACCACACAATACAGATCAAGTTTGAATTTTTGTGGTGTTACTTTTACAGTTCTAGAGTTATGCCTGTTTACAAATGGAAAAATATCTGAATTTTTTTTTTCTGTTCTCGAACTTAAGTTAACCTCAACCAAATGTTATGAGACTTATACACACTACTTATTACCACAAAACTCAGATTAAATAAAAATTTTTGTAGCATCACTTTCACTGTTCTTCAGTTATTTCCCTTTATAACTTTATATGATATGCAAGCGGGGGCATCATCTGTGTCCCATGGACACATTCCCCATTTATTTTATTTGGTGTTTCTATAGAATATTTTGGAAACTTGAGGTTACATTGTTACTAAAGCTTGTACACAGGAAGAAAAGGGGTGAAAATTTGATTGGTTAACTTACAGTGATGGTTATTTTCTTATATGCAATGAAATGCTATGTGAAATTTTGTCTATAGTATTGGACAGGATAAAACTTTACTCATGCCAAGTATTTCTTTATTTAAAACAAAGATAAATTCTGCACAATTTTTTGAAAAGTGCAAATTTAACAAAGACTAATAGGGGAAAATCAATGGTGGTATTACACCTTGGAAGAATTTACAGAGATCAGTTACTTATAAATCTCACTCTAGTCATTTCTGAGTTATGGCTCTTGATACTTAGATGAAATGGAAATTTTTTGAATTTGTCAATGAATATGTTTTTTTTCTTTTTCAAAATTAGATTTTGATGTTCTCTTTTTTTCAAACAATGTTCTCTATTTCCATTGACCATGAACATGGTCCTATAACCAGGAATCATGGGTTTTTTTTAATTTTTAAAAGAGACTTTTTCTATATATATCAATGAAAGAATAATAGAACATAAATTTTAAAAAAATGCAGAGTATAAAACAAATTAAGTGAATAACCCTACTTGAACCTGGTGTCGCTGCACTACAGATCGTCCTCCCTTTATCTTATTACATTCTGTTATCGTATCCTTTCAGATATAACATGACCACTGGAAAGTATCCGTATGATGGAGATAATATATATAAGTTATTCAACAATATAAGTAAAGGAACTTACACAATCCCCGATTCCATAGACAGTGTTCTAACTAATTTACTGCATGGTAAGTTTTGTCCAATTCTGTTGCTGGTATATTCACTAATTTATTCATGGATAGTAAATACTTCATTAACATTAGACACATAGTTTACAAGAGGACAAAATATATTACAAATAACATAAATACAATAATAAAATGATAAAAAGCTGATAAATGTCACAACAACTTAGCCAAAAGGTATAGACCCACTAATTAGACAAACAAGAAAGTCATGCAAATTAAAAGCAAGCAAACTAGTTCATACACATAGCTGTAACTCTTGAAATTTGTCAAAATATATTGGTATAAAATGAAGGCTGAAGGATGGGAGATCACTTATAGAACTCCCGTTGAATGTACAAGGGTGTATCTTGCGTGTTGGAAAATCTGCTTACCTGTTTTAAAGTTATTGATCCTGAAATGTTGATTATTAACTCTTTTGACACTTCTTGGCTATATGGCTATAAATTCAAAATCTATTAGAGCTACGGAAAGTATATTCAGCATGTAAAGATCCATCTAACTTAAAAATTTCAGAAAAAAAACCTTAACTACCCCAATTGGAGTGATTGCCCTGAGTTTTTGACAATTTATAACAGTTTTTGACTGTTATCACTGAAAAATTAGGATCTAGATAGGAAGTGTTGTTGCAAAAACCATAAGAAGGACAAGATCTATCTACCCTTAAAATTTCTAAAAAATATGACCACCTTTGGAGTTATTGCCCATGAAATTTCCAGTTTAGCAATTGAAAACTACAGGAGCACTGTAAAAAATCGAACTACTTTTGAGGAGTTGTTGCCACTAAAATATTTCATCCTTGTTTATATATGTTACACATTTTTATACGACCGCAAAAATTTTTGCGGCTGTATATTGCTATCACGCCGTTTCGTCGTCCGAAGACATTTGGTTTCCAGACAATAACTTTAGTTTAAGTGTATGGATCTCTATGAAATATTAGCAAAAGGTTCAATACCACTATATAATACAATATAAATTCAAATCATATAGCCAATTTCAAGTTCTTTGACTACATTTATTCTGTGTCAGAAACCTATAATGTGTCAAATATTTAATTACAATCCAAATTCAGACCTGTATCAAGCTTGAATATTGTGTCCATTTTTGTCCCAACTGTTCAGGGTTGGACCTCTGCGGTCGTATCAAGCTGTGCTTGGCGAAGCAGTTTATTTTTTGTTATCTGAAAACTTTAGGATTTAGTTAAAAATTCACTGCAAAACTAATCAGCATTTCAAGATCACCCTGAATATTGGAGAAACACCGACTTTCACAGTTTTTGCTGTTCTTTTGAAATTATAGAAGGTTGGGTACCAGTATATATTACCAAAAGTGATCAGCAAGATAATATTTGTCTACCTGGAATTTTTCAGAAAAATCCTACCACCTGTTTTGGAGTTATTGTCCCTGAAATGTAGATTTTTTACATTTTTTCTGTTTTTAATTTGTTATAACAAAACTATAAGAGCTGATTTAAAAGTGTCAGATTTTTAAAGATCTTCCAAACAACCAGTGATTAATGGAAATTAGAAAAATAACCTATATGTGGTAATGGAGGTCCTCATGAGTGGGCTTGCACTTTTTACCAAGTGAGCATTTCGTGCTCAGTGAACCACTATTTTTTATATAAAGGTTTTGTTTTACCAATTTACTGCTAAGGAGTTTTCTAAAAAAATAGAGACATGAAACACACATTTAACTTATTGTATTTTTTTTAAAGTGAAAAAGCATTTAAAAGAAAAAAGTGTTCAAATCTTTCACAACATACCAACTAGCTTATCATATATGCAGATAGACATACATACACAATCGGATCACAATCAAATATTTGTTTAAACACAGAAGTAAAAAATAAAAGCTTTGCTAATAATGTTGTTTTACTGTGTGATGATTTACATAGTGCTTGTAGGAGAGATACACACAGATGACAATAGAACTACACAAGCATTCATTCCCATTATATCCTCATTTAAAAAAGGTTATTTTTTGCAAGAATCTTGTAAATATTTGTACCCCCCTCCCCCAGTAATTGCAATACTTCAATAAAAAAGATAAGTTTTGGAATATTCTTATATATTTAAGAATTTCTGTGTTCAACAAAGAATAGAAGGAAATGCATTTATAGAAAATAATGGCGCTGTAGTTTTCAACATCATTTAGTGATGTATAATGCAAAGGTATCTCATGTCATATTTATTCACAAAGAATTTTTGCACAACAACGTAGGGGAAAATCGCCGATATGCGGACGGAAAACGAATATCTCACTTTTCAATAAAATTATGAAAAATTGAAATAAAATAGATATAAGAAATAAGGTGTTTTGTTTACTATTGAATCTCTATTTTGTTGCAATAAGGTTATCATGTCTATTACTTACGATTTACTTTTGTGTCATGTGATTGAAATTGCATGCTATAAATAGCTTATGTCAACAAGTTTGAAAACCTGAAAATTTTGAAAAATTCCAAAGTAAGCGTGTCACATTCAACACACAGTTGTTCATGTAAGAAAGGCAATTTATGTGCTGAAAAGCAATAGGCATTGCGTATTTTATGCAAGGAAACATTTCTTTTAATTATTTTTACTGATTTGTCTAAATTTGGATTACAAAATAGGAATAAGCAAGTGTCCGCATTTTCACCACCGAAAATAATATGATAGCCGAAATGCGGACACACAATATTTTGAACAACTAACACGTGCAGTGGTGCATATGTCAATACCATGATGACGGAAATAAACTTAACTCTCTTATAATCTAGCATTATTAGTTTCAATCCGATACATTTATATTAATAAAGCGTTGATTTGGGTTTATTTGTTTTGCTTTCATTTTGCATATTACGAACATAATGCGTTTACAAGTCTGATTTCCACTCCAGTTGGCAACTTGCACACATCTTCAATAGGTCAAAAACTGAAAATGTCATCCCCGGGATGGCAAGCCAATCGATCTATTTCTCTTTCTTTACAGAATGTCTACATGTTAAGGACTTTTTGCGAAAGCAAATTGAATGCAATAAAATGTATAGAAAACAATCGCCCGAATGCAACAATGTCTCGTAGACGAGTGGCTATTTGACAATGATGTAAAAACTTATTGGCTATTTTTCTTTGAAATTAATGCGTTTATCAAAACATGAATATGTATCAACACTACTATGCAAAATTATTGAAAGTGATAAGGAAAATGAATTCAGCAGCATTGTGTTTATTGCTAGAAAATCAAGTAGAAGAGGTAAAGAGTTGGACATTCTTACTGCGGAAGAGGCAGATGAACTTATTGATATCACGAATATTCTTTTGAAAGAAATGTTTTTATAAAACTTTTCAAAACATGATAGAAATAATGTAACCAATACATTGGTTTTAAAGACCTCTTTAGACTTTTAGTAACAACTTTGTGCTTCCAGTCGTCTGTCTGTCTGTTTGTCCATCCGTCTGTGAAAAATCGAAAAACAAACGAGGCCCCTCATGGGGAGGTACCAGTAATTGCATAATCATCAAATTTTTGCCAACATAATCACATAATCATTAAATATTTGCTTTGGTAATCAAACACTTATTTTCTTTAGTTATAAAAAAATCGTAAACTAAAAGCTTTGTTATCATATAACAATTCAATTGTAAACTATTTAATAACTAAACAGTTTTTAATAAGCTCTTCCTCGTCCTCATCCTTCTCGTCGGGTGAAACTGTTACACAGTATCACCTGCATCTTCCATATTTGGTTCGCTAATTTTCTCATGTGAACGATGTATGCCTCACGTTTTTTTTAACCTGCATGGACGAATGAATGTTAGAAATTAATCATCCTTTGCACCTATCGTTAACCTGTTGTGTTTTAGACATTTCCTCTAAGGCACAGAACTAGGTATGTATGTTCTGCACACGCTGGTATCCTTTCGCCATTCGGATAAAATCCAATATAGAAAAAAGTATATATGTGACGAAATGCAACTAACGCCAATAGCGTATCATCATGCGTGACCACAATCTCCAGCACTACGTCTTTATTATGGCCTGTCGACTTTTGGCGGGTGCCCTATTATAGTAATCACTCTGCACGTCTATTCATCCGTCCGTCTACACTTTCTATGTCGTAAGATAACTAAAATTTACTAGGACAGATTTTAAAATTTTTTTTAGCACAACATTTAGTAACATTAGGGGAAGCTCCCTTTCATTTTTTTTTTACTTTTCATTTTCGAGGTATTAGACTTATGCCAGCAAGACCCTTCATTGAGGAGTGACATGGGTCAGTATTCATAAGAGAAAATATAAGGATGTGAAGTAAATGTACATGGGACAAAATCACACACAATACATAGAAAAAATAAAAAAATATCAATGAACAGGGCTTTTATTCATGTTCTTCATCTTGACAGTTGATATAGGGTCTTCAACAATGAACGCATCATTCATATTCTACAAGGTCAAGACGGTATTATTGATAAAAATAAGCCAAAGTTCACCTTCTTGCTCCCTACCCGCCTCGGAGTGCCAACTTGTGCGATGCTTGTGTACGACGGTTCTCCAGTCGAAAGCACCAGGGATACAAGAAAAGTGCAGTAATTTTGAAAGACATCGATCGCCGCTTAAATATGCTTTGAAGTTACACATGTCGGGAGCGGTCAATGAATTACATAATTTATAATTACGGACTAGGTTTTTCAACATATATTTGTCATACATTGCCCAACAAAAGACCAATACATTAGAAACAACAAATGATTGTAGACAATACATATAAAACTAAACATAATACTGACTTTTCCATAATTCCCTAAAATGTTTGGTGTCCATTTTTCCATATTCCTATTTATTTATTTTTTAACATTCCAATTTACAAAATTTGCATGGTTCCTCACACCTTGCGTTTTCCCATTTTTGATTTCCCAATTCTTACAAATGAAGCCTTTTTACACATTCCATAAACTGTTTTCAGATGTTCATGGTGTTGGATGGACCGCAAAAAATCATGTTTGTCAAAGAGTACATAGAAACCAGACGATAAATAAAATTATCTTATAAGTATCGAAAAGTGCAAAAAAAATATCTCGCCTCAAGGCATCTTATGCTCTTGAGTGAGGGCTACGGATTTTTAAGTGATTAGGACATAAAAACACATTGCAATGAATGCCATACGATTTGAAATTGAAAATTATCACAACTATATCTCGTATATATGCATGCATGCATCTTGGAAGACAATATCCCGATGGAAGTTGTCAGAACAAAAAAGTTTCTGCATCTTATATCATTTAATAATTGGTGTGGTATAAGATATTTAATGAACTTTTTTAATCTTATTTTTTCACCTTTCCACATGTGTTACCAATTCATGCGAGAAAACCATTCTCAAACATGCTTGAAGATGCACTGAAAGGGTATTCCTTAGGGGTATTCATGAGAGCTAATGTTATATATGCATAATACCGGCGATTTGAATAGCAAGAACTGTTTAAAAATAAGTGTCCGCAATTTGACGACAAGGTGTCCGTATTTTAACTCCACCTGTCCGCATTTACGCGGTTTTTGTCGAGCCTTCGACTTTTGTCGAAAAAGCGAGACATAGCGATCCTACATTCCGTCGGCGTCGTCGTCGTCGTCGGCGGCGGCGGCGTCCACAAATATTCACTCTGTGGTTAAAGTTTTTGAAATTTTAATAACTTTCTTAAACTAACCTGGATTTCTACCAAACTTGGACAGAAGCTTGTTTATGATCATAAGATAATATTCAAAAGTAAATTTTGTAAAAAAAAAATTCCATTTTTCCGTATTTTACTTATAAATGGACTTAGTTTTTCTGCCAGGAAACATTACATTCACTCTGTGGTTAAAGTTTTTCAAATTTTAATAACTTTCTTAAACTATCCTGGATTTCTACCAAACTTGGACAGAAGCTTGTTTATGATCATAAGATAGTATCCAGAAGTAAATTTTGTAAAAAAAAAATTCCATTCCGTATTTTACTTATAAATGGACTTAGTTTTTCTGCCAGGAAACACATTACATTCACTCTGTGGTTAAAGTTTTTGAAATTTTAATAACTTTCTTAAACCGTCCTGGATTTCTACCAAACTTGGAAAGAAGCTTGTTTATGATCATAAGATAGTATCCAGAAGTAAATTTAGTAAAAAAAAAATTCCATTTTTTCCGTATTTTACTTATAAATGGACTTAGTTTTTCTGCCAGTTAACATTACATTCACTCTGTGGTTTAAGTTTTTAAAATTTTAACAACTTTCTTAAACTATCCTGGATTTGTACCAAACTTGGACAGAAGCTTGTTTATGATTTAAAGCTAGTATCTAGAAGGAAATTTTGTTAAAATTTTGTTCCATTTTTTCCGTATTTTACTTATAAATGGACTTAGTTTTTCTTCCAGTTAACATTACATACAGTCTGCAGTTTAAGTTTTTAAAACATTTATTAGATTCATAAACTATCCTGGATTTTTATCAAACTTGGACAGAAGCTACTTACAATCAAAAGATAGTATATAGAGGAATATTTTTATTAATTTTTTTCCTCATTTTTGTTGAGCCTGCGATTAACAGCAAAAGTAGGCGAGACACTGGGTTCCGCGGAACCTTTACGAATTTTTTAGAGTTTGCAATCTACTAATCACGAGAGGAGACCTGAAAACGCGGGAAATAGTCCATTTGATACCCCTCTATCCTCTCCTGTCAAATACAACCACCAGTATGTCCGCAATTGGCCTTAACGGTATCCAAACTTCCGGATTTGAAAAAGTGTCCGCAATTAGGCGAATTTCCCCTACATGTGATATTTCTCTCAAAATTTGCTGTCTCAATTTGAAAATTCTTGCTTTAGTCTTTCACAAAAGTGGCAGGAAGTGTTTTAGAGGTTCCCTTTCATAGCTTTTTAAAGAGTCTGTTCAGATTCAATAATTTCTATACTGTAAATTCAGAAATTATTGCGATGTTTTTATTATTGCGAAAAATGCGACAGGGTTATAATCGCAATAATTTAAACTCGCATTTTGAAGATTTTTATATGAATTAAACAGAATATTTCTCAAAACCGCAAAAATTAAAATCGCAGTTTAGTCTAAAATGACAAAATCGCAATAATAAATGCACGCAATAATTTCTGAATTTACAGTACTTTATTCCGTACCTAGCATATTCATTTATTTTTTTCGTTGCTATCTATTTCATGGTTAGGGTACCCAATTTTGTGATTTCATAATTTTGTTCAAACGATATAACTAAAAATTTGTATATGGTCAAGTATTTAAATTTGTGCTTTCCTCTCTTCCCAAGAAATCTGTGATAATTGGAATCCCAAGAATTTTAATGACTCCATATTAATTTGAATTTTTAAACTAACCACAGTGAGGTATAAGATGGCATTTTACACACACATACACATAAAAAAAGCCATTAGCAGTATATTTTACAGTGATGAATAATCTGAAATATTGTAGGTATGTTAGCATTTACACCAGACAAGAGGATGAGTATTGAACAAGTACAGCTACATGAGTAAGTTCTTCTTCTTATAACTTACTTCCAGCATTTGCATATGTTATTTGATAAATCTTATATCAGAAAAAATTTATGTCCATATATTCATATAAAAATGTGATCCAAAGATGGAAAGAAAACGAGTGAGATCAGTTGTGTCAGCATTGTTATTGTCCAAGCGCAATGAGGTGCAGAAAACATAGAAATACAGCCTATCTGTTAATCCATCCAGTCTTGTAATCACTCTCATTGGTATAATAATTACCAGATTTTCATGAAATTCATATCAAAGGTTTATATCAGCAATGTCTCTGGACAAATATGAAAATTAGTGCCAAACAAATATTTTGAAAGGAGTTATGCCCCTTGGAAATATAAACTATATGAAATAATTGCATTGTAAGTGCTCTCAAGCCCACATTTCTTGTAGGTTTATTATGAAATTTGTAAATAGAAGGTTTATATCAGCGATGTCTTGGACACATTTGAAAATCAGCACTAATCAATTATTTGTCAGGAGTCAAGTCCTTGGAAATGTAATTTCTTTGAAAAATTACATCATTAGGGCTCTTGATTGAACAATTCTTGCCTGATATTTCTGAAATTGGTATCATTGAGTTTGAAATCAGTGCAGATCAACTACTTTAAAAGAGTTGTGCCACATAATTTCAGTCATTTTGAGATAACTTGAAAAGAAAGGGTCCTTTTTTTCAAACTGTTGAATTCATCCTAGATTCAAGGCTTCAATGAAGTTATAAACGGTTTCACAGCATTTACTTCATGAAATTTCTTACCATTTTTCTAAAAGCGCTTGGCTTGGGACAAAGAAATACTGGGTGTCGTCCATGCTTCCATCTGTCTCGTCTTGTAAGTCCTCTTACATGTAATATTCTTTCCTCCGTATAACACTGTATAAGGAAGGTTTAGACAAACATCATAGTATGTCATTTTTATAGCCCCACAACAAAGTTGCCATATAGTTTTACCCTTATCCGTCATTCTGTCATTCCACAACGAACAGTTTTCCTAAACACCTTCACATATTGAGCTGATTTTTAGTATATGATGCTACTATGATAAGTTAAGATCAAGTTTACATATGGTTCTGCTCCGCTGATTTTTGCCGAAACAACAGGCTTTGGACTTTGAACTTTTGTAAAAATAACAGTTATACAGAATTTTTTTCGAAACACCTTCACATATTGAGCTGATATTTAATATGTGAGTCGACTATGATGGATTACAGATCGAGTTTACGTTTGATTCTGCTCCATTGATTTTTGCTGAAATTACGACTTTAAACTTTGAAAATTTTGTCAAAATAACAGTTATACAGACTTTCATTCTCAAATTTCAACCCCTAAAAATGGCTTCAGGCTTATTTTGCAAACAGGGCCATTTGTGTTGTTCTGATGCATCTAGTCATGTCTATTTTATGGAAGAGGCACCCAGGAAGTTAAGATTATGTGAAGTTTCCTCCTTATAAGGAAGGTTTAGACAAACATCATAGTATGTCATTTTAATGTCTGTTTTATGTTACAGTTGGGTAAGGAAGAGGCACCCACGAAGTTTAGATTATGTGAAGTTTCCTCCTTCTAAGGAGGGTTTAGACAAACATCATAGTATGTCAGTTATGCAGTACTTAGATGATTTACATTGTCCAGAGGAGGAAGAATGTGATGAGTATGAAGAGGATTTTCATATACAGCAAAACAGTATGTATTCTTATTAAAACAGTTTATATAACATTCAAAACAGTATGTGTCCTTATCAAAACTGTTTGTATTATATTCAAAACAATATGTATGCCCATGACAACAGTTTGTGTCATAATCAAAACAGTATTTATTCCTATCAAGACAGTTTTTGTCCTTATCAAAACAGTATGTATTCTGATAAAAAACAGTTTGTATCATTGTCAACAGTATGTTTTCCAATCAAAACAGTTTGTGTCCTTATCAAAACGGTATGTTTTCCAATCAAAACAGTTTGTGTCTTTATCAAAACAGTATTTATTCCTTTCGAAACAGTTTCAATTCCAATCTGAAAAGAAGACTTTACTATTCAAAACCTATCAAAACGGGTTCCATACCTATCAAAATAGTATATTTTCCTATCCTTTTCAAATCAGATGTTTTTCTATCAAAACAGTATATTCCTATAAAAAAGTGTGTCCTTATCAAACCAGTTTGTATTCCTATTAAATAAAAATTATTAAATAAAAATTTTTTTTGTTTTTATCAAACCAAAATGTTATTTTCTATCAAAACAGTATGTGTTCCTGCTAAAACATTATGTTTTCATATCAAAACTATGTATTATAACCAAAACAGTATGGTTTTTTTTCAAAACAGTTTGTATACCAATTAAAACAGTATGTATTCAAATCAAAACAGTGTGTCTTCCTGTCAGAACATTGTGTTTTCATATCGATTACAATTAGACCTGTATGAATTACAATCATAACAGTATTTATCATAATCAAAACAGTAGGTACTCCAATCAAAACAGTTTTTTTGTGTCTTTATCAAAACTATGTATTCCAATCAAAATATTTTGTTTGTTATCAAAACGGTATGTTTTCCTATCAAAACAGTATGTATTGCATTTAAACATTTTGTGTCTTTATCAAAACTATGTATTCCAATCAAAATAGTTTGTTTCTCTATCAAAACATGATGTATCCCTATCAAAAAAGTGTATTTCTTTCAAAATATTAATATTAATTGCATAACATTAGGTATTCATAGAAAAATAGTTTGTATTTATAACTGCTTTTGATAGTAGATATAAAAATAAAGAGATGTGGTATGATTGCCAATGAGACAAATACCCACCAAAGTTTTGTACAGCAAAACAGCATGGTAAAAGTTTGGAGTCTTAGCTCAATTTAATTCCTATAACCTTTTATTGCAAAGCTGTATATTCTAATAGTATTTATAGCAGAATTAAATTCACTAATATACAGAAAAAAAACAGTATGCATTCATAGTGAAAAGGTATGCACATTTACACTGCTAAACAGGACTTTTCATAGTTGAAATGAAAGAGCACCTACATTAAGTTCATGACATGGGACAGGCCCAATAACATGCAGGGTTAAATAAGGTTTTTAAGCTCTTAACTCTCCCGCTTTTTTATTCAAATTGGTAGCTTCTTTGGTGTCTGAAGTTAGCCCTTCATCTCAAATATTTCAACATAAAATGCATTTTGAGTAAAGCAGGCAAGACTTTTCAGTATGCTCACTCTTGTTTGCAACTGAATTATAATAATTGATTGAATATTGCTTGCTTAATGTCTAAATTGAAATGATATTCTAACTGAAAGTAGCAAATGATTTGTGCATTAAGGATCCATTAATCTAAAGAATAGTTCTTTCTAGCAAATTCTTATCTGTTTGTGTTGTATTGCAGATGGCAAAAAGCCACAAAATGATGTTGATGATACGCCCATTCCAGATCCAAAACACAAGAAACGGAAGACAAAAAGTGGACTTCTTAGTTCGTGTAAACAATCATAGTATTCCAATTAATGTCATTTGTATGTTGTGAATGCGTGAGTAAGTCATGTGATTATTGTATGGTGTATGAGTTGTGAAATTTTATGTTGATGGGAACCAAGTACAGTAAAATCTGTTTATCTGAACCATTTCACTATATTTATAAAATTTGATGCAGAAGGAAGGAACCACTGTGCTTTGATAAAATCAAAAAGCATTTATCATCCAGAACCACATTCTCTGGTGACATAAGAGGAGCTTAAACAGTGTATTAATGATTTGAAAATTCGAAAAGACATTGATATGTTTTCCTATCTGATATGCTGAAAAGAACTCAAATCCATTGTTAGCAAGCTGGACATACAAATAATGTTATGTTTCCAATAACATGACCAACACCCCTTTTTATACGACCGCAAAAAAATTTTTGTGGTCGTATATTGGTATGACGTTGGCGTCCATTGTCGTCATCGTCGTCGTCCGAAGACGCATTAGTTTTCGCACTCTAACTTTAGTTTAAGTGAATGGATCTCTATGAAATTTTACCATAAGGTTCAATACCACAAAAGGAAGGTGGGGATTGATTTTGGGGGTTATGGTACCACCAGTTAAGGAATTAAGGGCCAAAAAGGGGCCAAAAATAAGCATTTTCTAGATTCCAGACAATAACTGTGGAACGGTGTATGGATCTCTCTGAAATTATACTACAAGTTTCCATACCACAAAGGGATGGTTAGGATTTGCTTTGGGGGGTTATTGCTCAAACCGTTTAAGAATTAGGGGCAAAAAAGGGGGAAAAACAAGGTTGTCCTCATTAATGGACAAATACTTTAGTACAAAACATAATTTAAAGCAGTGTAAGGGAGATAAATCAAATACATCATTGAAATTATCTCCCTTACACTGCTTTAAATTATGTATTAAGTAATGGTTAATGAACAATTAAGATAATTTAAAACAGTGTAAGGGAGGTAATCCAAATACAACGTTTTGGTTACTTCCCTTACACTGCTTTTAAATTATGTTTAAAGAAATGCATATTTATAAAGGAAGACCAGTATGGCGAATTAGATTTGTAAAATCTTTGACCACATTTATTTATTTGTTTTCCCGAATCTAACCGTGTATTTAGATTTTTAATTTTGGGTCCAGTTTTCAAATTGGTCTACATTAAGGTCCAAAGGGTCCAAAATTAAACTTTGTTTGATTTTAACAAAAATTGAATATATGGGGTTCTTTGATATGCTGAATCTAAACATGTATTTAGACTTTTGATTTTTGGCCCAGTTTTCAAGTTGGTCCAAATTGGGGTCCAAAATTAAACTTTGTTTTATTTCAACAAAAATTGAATATATGGGGTTCTTTGATATGCTGCATCTAACCATGTATTTAGATTTTTTATTTGTGGACCCCGCTATCAAATTGGTTCATATTGAGGTCAAAAGGGTCCAAAATTAAACTTTGTTTGATTTCATCAAAAATTGAATTATTGGGGTTCTTTGATATGCCAAATCTAAACGTGTATTTAGATTTTTAATTTTGGGTCCTGTTTTTTAAATTGGTCTACATTAAGGTCCAAAGGGTCCAAAATTAAACTTAGTTTGATTTTAACAAAAACTGAATTCTTGGGGTTCTTTGATATGCTGAATCTAAACATGTGTTTAGATTTTTGATTATGGGCCCAGTTTTCAAGTTGGTCATCAAAAATTTAATTATTGGGGTTCTTTGATATGCCAAATCTAACCGTGTATTTAGATTTTTAATTTTGGGTCCCGTTTTTTGAATTGGTCTACATTAAGGTCCAAAGGGTCCAAAATTAAACTTAGTTTGATTTTAACAAAAATTGAATTTTTGGGGTTCTTTGATATGCTGAATCTAAACATGTGTTTAGATTTTTGATTATGGGACCAATTTTCAAGTTTGTCCAAGTTGGGGTCCAAAATTAAACTTTGTTTGATTTCAACAAAAATTGAATATATATGGGGTTCTTTGATATGCTGAATCTAACCATGTATTTTGATTTTGGACATTGGACCATAATAGGTAAATTAAAAAAATTGAAGTTCTTAGACCACATTCTTTCTGTGTCAGAAACCTATGCTGTGTCAAATATTTAATCACAATCCAAATTCAGAGCAGTATCAAGCTTTAATGTTGTGTCCATACTTGCCCCAACTGTTCCGGGTTCGGCCTCTGCGGTCGTATCAAGCTGTGCCCAGCGAAGCATTTTATTAATGTTGGTATAGTTTTACATTGCTGAATTTATAACTAAATACTAAAAATTTGATAAAAGATCTTGACTGTTTGACTCATACAAATTTCGAAGTATATATAAATAGATTGCACAGTTCTGTCTGTTATACTTTCCACCATGTACCCTCTTACTGATTATCAGGATTTTATCTGGAAACACGAGATTTTTTTAGTTCACATGTTTCAAAGGGCCTGTGAGCTTTTTCCATCACTTAACATCGGTCGTGCTTCTGTCTGTTATCTGTTTTCTTTTTCAAAATTTATATCCCCTGCAACAAAAGAATATAGTCATACTCAGATTAAATTCCTACAAAAGTATGTTCTATAGATGTCAACTCTCTGCCTCCAAAATATTTTTTTTTAAATATGAAATCTCCTTGTGAACACTAGTGTTATATTGGATAGAGTGTTTGACATTTGTTGTTTGGTGTTCATATCAGTAATTTAAGAGTTCACGTTTATTCCAGTTGGCCTTTTATATAAAAAGTACTTGGACAAAGTTAGTTTCACGAAAAGGACTCTGTTCTGCTCCATTTTCAGCCTTGTTAGCCAATATTAAAATGCTTTTGGTATGAAGCAGTGTACCATTCTAGGAACAGAGAATCCATGCCCAGTTTTTTGTTGCTATTAAGGTTTCAGTTTTGTTTGCATTGCTGGTAAAAAAGTGAGGTAGAAAATATCACATTGACCTGATTTTCACAGATGAAATTTACTTATTTTGATGATGCAAAAATTGGCATTATATATGCTATAATGAAATTATACCATTCACTCGTGCAACATTTCTATAGAGCCTCTATATGATATATGCATGAAACAGAATTTTTACATTGTGATTCACTTAATATTTAATTTGTATTGTGTTTGCAGTAAATAAAATAATAACTGTTGATAGAAATGTAAGTAAGACTGTTTTTCCAAGGTGCTAAAATGATATATGTCAAACATCACATGTGTCATTGTAATAGTACGCATACTGTCATACATTACATGTTTATAGTTCACAAATGATATTGTAGTTTCAGTTAAACTCTTGTTATATAAAACTCAAGGGACCATTAGAGTTTGTTGACTTAGTGCTACATATACATTATTCTCATCATATTTAGTATATTGTATAATTTGAAATAATTAAGTTATAATCATGTTTTGTAACTCTACGTTACACATTCTCAAATTATTTCTGTCAGAATTACATGTCCAGAAATGTATAAAAGATTTAAACAGACGCCTCATTGCATTCTTCAAAATAGTCCCTTGTTTCAAATTTAAACTGCTTATTGCATGCAAATATTGGTAACAGTTTATTACCATTGACAAAGTATGAGGTGATTGTTAGATATAAGCAAGTGATTCACAGGTATATTGAAGACCATTAATCACTGATCTAGTATTAACTTTATCTGATATTAATGGGGCAATAGTTATCTAGGGTTTTATTTAAAACAGACTTATAAATGGGTTGCTTTGTATATGAGTTTTGCTTAATTTTTTTATTGCTGTATTTTCCAAGATTTGGATAGAAGCCAAAGATATAAAGTAACCTGCTATAATATATTCAAATTATAAAATTCACCTCTGAAAAAGACCTCTCCAGTTTTTACGCAATTTGAAAAAAATAATGTTTTTGCAGCAAACCAGTGAAACCTCTAAAAAGGGAGTAAATTGCATTTAGTTGTAATGTTTTAAATGACTTGAGTATTACCCTCGTCTGTCCTTCCCTCTGTTCAAGATGTTGAAATTCTGTGGATAGGTCTAATATCAAGAAATTCCATGTGATGTATCAATGAAATTTTTCTTCTGTATCTATCTCATGTAGTTATCCATCATTAAGTACTGGTCTTCTACAGTAAGATCATTATGACCTATATTTTATACTTGAACAACTTCGGTTGTGTGTTTGTTTTGTATTACTTGTACTTATTGTGGTATATCAGTGATGCTTCACAACCATGATTTTGTAATATAACACATTTGTAACATTTTGAGTAAATATGACCTTCATGTTATGCTTTGGTGACATAAATTTTGCATTTAAGTTATTTTCCATTAGGCAAATTGTATATTTTTGCATGACAATTTTCAACAGGCAAATTGTATATTTTTGCATGACAATTTTCATCAGGCAAATTGTGGTTTATTTCAAAATGACAGTCCTCTGTTGAATTTTTGATATACTCCTTGTATCAGGATCAATAATTTCTCACAGAAACGTCTACATGTATTTATTTCAGTAGACAAGCCACTGATTGGAATTAGTATTCAAAAATTTATAGCTTTGTTTTTAGTTAAGCAGTTCTTATTTTTACACTGTCATAAATTAAGAATACATTTTTGTAAACAACATTATTTCTACGAACAGTTAGTCTTTTGTACATTTTGACTTCATCAAGTATACCAATTAATCAGAATTAAGTTATTTATTATTTTAAAATACATTGAGTTTCAGGAAGTAAATTTAGAGCAAGTATGTACTTTATAAGTGTTACCAAGTAGACATTCATAAATTCAGAAAGAAACAATTGTTATTCATGATCAGGAAAAAAAACCCAATTCAGAAAAAGTTAAAACAATATAAGTCAAAGTTCTGTTAATCAACAAACTTAAAAGAAATAAATTTAGAGCACAATATAAAATATGTTTTGTCAGTACTGCAATTATGTTCAATACTTGTTCACTGAGGGGTTGTTTAAGTTCAATAGTCAGTTCACAAAATTATGCCCAGCATAGGATTAGTACATAATCCAGTTTTACTGTAATGATGAAACCGATGATATATTGAATTAAAGTCTTCTACATCATAGATCATTGTAAAAGGTTCATGTTTTATACTATGTAACTTTGTATGCTTCAAAATAATTACCCTGCATTTGTCTGTCAACAATATATAGCTTAAGTTCTAAGGAACTTTTTGTTGTGTCAGTATTAACATTTGTGTTTTGCATAAATTAAAAAAAAATGTATAATACATTTAAACTATCAGGTTTATTTTCCATATACAAGTAATGTATTCAATGTAATAAAAATACATAATTTGTTCATCCCTCATCAATTTATATTCAATTATTAAAAAACATGTGCTGCGGGCATTGATTCAGATATTATAGTTTTCACTGTATAATAAGATATTTCAGATTTTACTGTATTCAATATTCCAGTATGCACTGATTGTTGTTGGTACAGGTGAAATGAGTCCTGTATAATTTTGTTAGATTAAATATTGTTATTTTGCCTCTATATTATTTTAATAAATTCTATTCATTTTATGAAAAAACTCAGTTACTTATTTGTGATAGCCCTCTTCTTGACATTCAGGCCATTTAAAGGATTAAAATTTTTAGAGTTCATGTGTAAAAAGGAAGTCTTGGTATTGAAGTCAAGAGTATCAAGTGTTAAACAAAACAAATATCAGAAAATCTTGGTTAAGTAAAATAAACTAATATTCCAGTTCAGACATAGTATGTACACTAACTGAGGGTTGGTTGTTTACATGTCCAGTGACAGATATTTCATGCATATTCAAGACTAGGTTTTTTAATTGTTTGAATGTTGTTAATTTTATGCTGTGAAACACGTTGGTATGTGTTATTTCTTTTGAAGTACCACATGATGTTTACAGCTATATATGTCTCTTTCTGAAGAGTACTGTACTTGCCATTAGATTTGAGATAATTATACAGATCATCACTTGTAAAACCCTTGTTTGTCCTTCTTTGTGTTTTTCAACATTCATTTTATTCCAGTCAATGCTCTGTGTTTTAAACATTTAACCAATCAAGTAAGTAAGTATATACTCTTCATTACAGCCCTCATTTTCTTTCGTTTAGCCAATGCTCTTTCCCTTCTAGTAATTAGATACAACATCCTTGAGCTTACCTAAATGAGTACAAACCAAACTGGTATATAAACATTCCCTGAAGATTGTAGCTCAGTTTTAACACACGTTTGTTGTTTAGTGACTCGTTAATTTTAGTAATAACAACTTGCATCTCAATTGTTTGTGTTGTAGACAGTTCTCTTGCACTTCCCTTGTTAGTAACAATTCCCCATCCCTCTACACTTTCCAGGTGTTGACCTATATTAATGTAATTTTATTTCAAATTCTATTTTGTTTATTAGTTCTCTCTATTCTCCATCTTGTTTGTTATAATCTTTTATGTTCATGCTTTCACATGCACTAGTTCTCTTTTTATATCTATCTAACATTTGTTAGTTTTACTGTCTTCGTTAAATTCTTAAATTTCTTACACTTTTATAAGTCCTTTGACTAAAACAAGCGTCAGTTTTACCTGGTATATTCCATACTTTTGTGTCTTAGATGTTCTTTGCAGGAAGATTTTCCACTTTGATCACTTCTATTCCGTACTTTTGCGTCGTTTTGGACAGAAAGTCTTTCATTTCAGTTAATGTTTAGTTGTGTTCTACACCTTTTGTTTCATGAGCTTCCAAGTTGATAGATCTTTCTTTACGGTATAATGCAATTGTTAGTTCAACGATCTGTGTTGCATATTTTCTTTCTCATAACTTTTCTGTGCATATAGTTGGACACAACTGTTAATCTTGCGATGGTGTGTAGGAGTGCAGGTTTGATCCATGATTGACACTAACTAAAGATCTTAAAAGCTGTATTTGCTACTTCTCCGACAAGTAAACGGCATTTAACTGTCAATCTAACTCCTGAACATGTTATTGTTCTGAATATGCATCTGATATTTGCCAATGGACGATAAGCAGCCATTTATCACTCATCCAATCATTAGAAATACATTCGTGATTTTATGCGTGTTTTCTGTATTTCATGAACATTCTATGCATTTTGATCTAACATTCATATGTTCACTTTTCCATTTATTTATATCATGTATTTATGTATATAGTTTATAATATTTTAAAAATGTTACAGTTTAGTGTTTCAAACTGTATAAAGTTGTTTGGATTGTTTCCCTTTGAATATATCTGGTGATTGTTGAATGCTTGCTTTTCTTTCATCGGCAAATATTACACAAAGATTAAATATTGTGGCATTCAACACTTCCATCGGCAAATATTACACAAAGATTAAATATTGTGGCATTCAACACAATAACAGATCTAAACTTTGGTTTCTTTATTGTAAGGTTGGGAATAATCATAAAATAAACAATTAATAATGATGAATCCTCGCACGACGGGTGCAAAGATCCCCACAATTAATATCAAGTCCAATACAATCAGCTACACTGTCTACTGACATCACCAAGAGCAACATGGTGTAAGGTTTGGAGTGACCATGCATGATCGAACTTCTTAATATTCTTATAATGCACTCAAAAGCTATTTGTTTGATATTTTGTATTCAGACAAGTTCATCATTTTGTCATATATTTCCTATCTGTGCTACTGCATGTACTACTGCCACTGAGTGCTGCATGCTGTTTCTTCAGTCCATGCAAAATTCCAGTCTTTCTATAACCGTTTTTCTGTTAAAGACTAGTTTTTAGGCACACACTGCATCTTTGAGCGGAGGGGCATTATTTTTATCTCTCCAACACAAACAATTTTATAGGCAGTTTAATGTAAAAACTATTTTTTTAATAACCAGATTGTCACTTCTTTAAAACTGAATTTATGGTGACTGTGTTGTGTTTTGGCTTGAAACAACACACATAGGAACATTTAACAATAATACGACTCTACATCGACTCTTGAGACAAATTCTTTCAACAAATGACGACTTCCGCAATACATAAATTAATAAGTTCTTAAGTTCGGCATGGAATACAATTTACATAGTTGGTACTGCTCAGTGGTGTATAAGTAAATATAATCTGTAATATCGAATTTATAAAGGTTTATATAAAACAAAAATTACTTGAATAGACTGTACAAATATTTATCTAAATGAGTGACAAATACAATTAACGGATTATAGAAACATGTTTTTTTCTGAATGAGCACATAGCTAATAATTAACTACAATAAACAATTTTTTTTATTATTATTAACAATAGAATAACAGAAGTTTTAATCAAATTAAATAGATACAAAAATAATTGGCAGGATTGAGACAAATGTCACTAATTGAAAAGCAAATTGAAACATGAAATTAGTTCTATCATTAGCTTAATCTTCACAATAAAAAAAATATTAATAAAATCCCTAAGTCAAACATTGCAAATACAGGGGCGGATCCAGCCATTTATAAAGGGGGGGGGGGGGGGGGGGGGAAGGGGGGGGGGGGTGTTCCAACTATATGTCCCCATTCAAATGCATTGATCGTCAAAAAAAGGGGGGTTCCAACTCCCGGACCCCCCCCCCCCGGATCCGCCACTGAATAATTTGACTAAATGCTTTTCATATAAAATAGATCCAAAAAAGTCTCAAAATTAAGTTTTGTCCATTTCTTCACTGCAACAATTTACAGGAACAAGAATTTCTATTATGAATTCATCCAAATCCTTGATGGAAACAAAATATTTTTCACTTTCCTTCAGACACACGTTTTTCCAAGAAATTTAGAATCAAATAATTTCTAAAAAACCACTAACATTAATTAACTGAAAAAGTAATTATTTTCCGATATGATTTTATTAAGGATCGATTTTTTTTTCTTTCACGTATAACTACATCTATTCGCAGTTTTTCGACAAGGAAAATATTACATGTATAATTACATTCCCGATAATACCTGCGACAATTTAGTTTTTAAAACTAGTTTGTGATCCCCTTTCGGATTTACAAGTCGCAAGGTGGCGTGAATGTGACACAGAAGGATGTATATAGTTCACGGTTCGGTGACCACTATGAAAAGCGCTATGTTTTGAATAGTAAACGATTTCGCTTGAAACACATGTGGAAGTATTGGATATTTACGATAAACAAATTTTATTCAAATGTAAAAATTTAAAGATGGCTTCACCCGAATCAGGTAAGATCTATTTTATTTAGTTTTTACAAATATCGTCTGCATATTTTTTCGGGTAGATATTAAGCACCTGTCAGAATATCGCACATACCCAAGGATATTCACCTGGACGATTTTATCAATAGACATGTCGGATTTTTCATATTTTCATTATTTCACAGTAAAACACATATTAAGATTATTAAGTAGTAGTTCGTAAGGTTATTTAGACCATAGTTTTCAAACAAAATAACTTGCCTAGAACAACCCCCTCCCACCCATTGAAAATCCAATTATTCGGATATTTAAACAACATTTTATTGTTAAATATATACCTAAAACTGTATTAATCGCTGATCGTACATTTTAGGAAGAAAGTTAAAAGCGGTGCATATGCAATCAACAGAAAGATCTAACAATAAGTTTGTTTCCAAATGAATTCTCTGATTTTTTTTTGTTTTTTTACACCCAGCATATATCTCTTCAATAGTGAATTGACATGAATATATTTGATTATGCATAAAATTGAAAAGAAAATTGATTTTATAGTAGTTATCGGTAAATCTGTATGCCTGAGTGGAATTTTAAATTGGGGGGAATCTCAAACTGATAATTGTTCTGGATATTTAATTATATTAACAACTTATCACCTCCGTGTAGAGCTTTAGGCATTTTAGACAGTATTCAACATTTTACTATTAAAGGTGATTTACATATACAATAAGGAATTTGTTCACCCGTATACTTTTAGCACCTGGAACTAAATAAATAATGTTTTACCCCAAAAGACTTCCTGCATCATGCTTTTAATATCATACTGTTTTTACAAATACTAGCATTTCATTTTTTGATACATTACAAAATGATAATAATAAAACTATGAAATTGATTGAAAATGTCACAGTACTAAGATACATGTATACCATTAAGTACGGAAACACAGTACGACAATATGTTGTCTGCATAACCACAATGTCTAAATGTGCAGCACTGAAATTTTGACCCTGAATCCTTTCACAGAATAACAATGACTTAATATTGGTATATAAACATTGAAACTGAATGCTTACACAGAATAACAACAATGTCCAGATACTGACATTTAATGACAAAAAGAAACTGACAGAGACTGGCATGTGTCTGAATGCTGACCTCAAATGATATTATATGTTATAATATTAACACTAAATGCAAACATAACATCTATATATTACCACTTAATGACAACATGTGTCTGAATACTGACACTGAATGGCAACATATGTTTAAATACTGACACTGAATGACAACATGTTTAAATACTGACACTGAATGACAACATGTTTAAATACTGACACTGAATGACAACATGTTTAAATACTGACACTGAATGACAACATGTTTAAATACTGGCAACAAAGACATTTGTCTGAATACTGACACTTAATGTCTGAATACTGACACTGAATGACATCACATGTATGCATACTGACAGTGAATGACAACATAGGTCTGAATACTGACACTCAACAACATTATATGTTGGAATACTGACACAGACTGACATGATGTATTTTTAATTAACATTGAATGAAAAAACTGACTCTGTACGCCCTATTAACCGAATGCTAACATTGTGTGACCTGTTAACTGAATGTTGACATTGTGTTTATGTTAACTGAATACTGACATTGTGTTACCTATTAACTGAATGATGACATTATGTTACCTATTGACTGAATGATGACATTGTGTTACTTATTAACTGAATGCTGACATTGTGTGACCAATTAACTGAATGCTGACATTGTGTGACCAATTAACTGAATGCTGACATTGTGTGACCAATTAACTGAATGCTGACATTGTGTGACCAATTAACTGAATGGTGACATTATGTTTATATTAACTGAATACTGACATTGTGTTTATATTAACTGAATACTGACATTGTGTTGCCTATTAACTGAATGATGACATTGTGTTACCTATTAACCGAATGATGACAATGACTAAACTATGATTTGATAAACTGATAATGTATGACAACATATCTGAATACTGACAATATTTAACAACATGAATACTAACAATATATGGCAACATATATGAATACTGACAATATTTGACAACATATCTGAATACTGACAACATATCTGTATACTGACAATATTTGACTGCTTACAATATGCAACAACATATCTGTGTACTGATATTATTTGACAACATATCTGAAAACTAACAATATTTGACAACATATCTGAGTTCTGACAATATTTGACAACACATTAATACTGACAATATGTGGCAACATATTTGAATACTGACAATATATGGCATAATATCTAAATACTGACAATATGTGAACATATCTGTATACTGACAATATATCTAAATACTGACAATATTTTACAACATATCTGAATACTGACAATATTTGACAACATATTTATATATGACAATATATGGCAACATATCTATACTGACAATGTGTGACAATATATATGTATACTGACAATGTTTGCAAACATATCTGTATACTGACAGTATGTGACAATATATCAAAATACTGACAATATTTGACAACATCTATGAATGCCATTGTATTTGTGTACTGATCATATATTGAGATACATTAAACAGCATTGTATCTGAATACTGGCATTGTGTGACAGTGTTTCATCATAATATTGACAATTAATGACTTAGTTAATAACTACATTTAAAAAAAAAACTTTTTAAAACAAGTCTGATTTACTGTTTTCAATGACTGATTTTCATTATGGACATCTTCCTTTCAACCAAATACCAAGAACTACACCTACATTTGGTATTGTTTGTTGATTGTTTTATACAAAAAGGATATTAACACAGATAGTCTTTCTGTTAAAATTATTGAATTACATACATGTAGGACCTTGCTGTAGTTAAAGAGGAAGTGTCATTATACATGATTATCTATGGACATAATATTACTGAATAACCAGGAAATAGTCCCTGCTATCTGTATTGATAAAAGATTAAAATATTGACAGGTCCTGCTTGTCCTTCATTGTTATAGATATTGATTTGGTAGTTAGCTATAATCTCTAAATAGAGTCTTGTGTCCAGGGACAGACAGTGAATGTTTAATCAGCAATCAATTACATTTGGTACATTGAAAACAATGAATTTACCCGTTATGAAGTTTAAGGTTTTTATTAGGGGTTTAATAATACTATAAAAACAGTGATTCAAATGTGTTGAGGGTATTTGCAGTAATAAACTGATATAAAAGTACTGTTCCATGACCTTTTAAGAAATAAGCAGTTGGAGATGCTATAGCATAATAGACAATGACTTATCAGATTATTTGTTAATTAACCTAGCTGAATGGGTACCTGTTGTCTCACAAATTACACCCCTCCCCCTTTTTCAAGATGAATACAGGAAAAAAAACTAAAAGGGTATACAAAAACATAATATGACAACTAAATATATGTGATAATTAGTTGTTCATGAAAAGATGCATTATAATTAACATTCTATAGAAAAACTACATGCCCAGAATGAGTAGAATGTAAAGTTATATTGTTAGAATTACTGAGGTCAAGAAGGTTAAGTGTAATAATTAACAGAACATGCACAAATATTAGCAAAATAAGCAACAAAAAATGTATTCTAGAGTCATGGACTCATGTCAGTTTCTTTACAAAAGTTTGGCTACATTGTTATAATCATCTTGCTGTATATGGAATAATTCTATTCAGATAGAGCCATTTGGAACACCATTTCTAATAACCATCTACTTAAATAACCAATGAGCACTGATAATAAGAAGAAAGTATCATTTTCAGGCATATAAGGATTAGGCAAAAGGAAAAAAAAGATTGCGATGATATTAAATATAAGATAAAGAGATGTGGTATGAATTATTTAAGCAGCTTTAGGTTATCGTAGGTACCTGAAAGTAGAAGTGATGAAAAAAATATGTTGAAAATTCCATTATGTTAGCCTAAGCTATTGTAATTTCATATTATACTTGTTTGTAGAAAACTCTTTTAACATACAAATATTATAAACTGATTTATATTTTTCAGAGGATGAAAAGTGGCCAGATATTTCTAGTGAAAATAGGATTAAACATGAAATATTATTCTATAGTCAAGGACCAGTTGATGGCTATCTCATTGGTAAGTTAAGAGCTGTGGTATGTTTAATATATACCTAGATCATCATTTATATAATTTATCTTGTAGTTAGTGTAAGTTTGAGAGGTACCAAGAATCTCAATAATTTATCTTGTAGTTAGTGTAAGTTTGAGAGGTACCAAGAATCTCAATAATTTATCTTAAGATGTACAGTCACAGGAAAGGAGGCTACAACTTTTATGCAAAATAAATTGTCCATATAAGAGCTATTTCAAGCTTCTTGGTAATTGATTTGAATTCGTGAAAATAGAATCTACTACTAAGATACTACCTACAAGATATCACAAAAGGTCATCACAGGGTTAGTGGAAGGTGAAAATTATTAGTTAAATTCTATACGAACTGTATGGGGTGGTAACATTAATAAGGTACCCTATGATGAACATAATAAATGCTTGAGACATTTAAGTTGTTAGAAGCTGTTATTTGAGTTGACATGACATAACAGAAGCTTTATATCTTTGGTTGGAGATGCTTTTTTTTATGAAAATCAAGCACCTGCAAGAACATGAGTGTATTAACTATTTTGATATGCCCATTAATAAAAAATGCTCCTTAACAGTCCTTAGGATGGAAGCTTTGTAAAAAAATCACCAAATTAAATCAACTGTTTTAATGATCTTTGATGTTTTTAAAGGCAAACAAATATGTGAATTCATGTATAATGAATGGTACATTTACTTCTGTTTGAGATAACTACTAACTAATGATAGACAATGATAGCTGCTGACAGGTGAAACAATTTTAATCATTCTACCTGTCTCAAGTGATATATACTGTCCTGTAAGTTTCTTAATGATCAGACCAGCTAGTTAATTAGTTAATGAGCCTTAAAATACTTTCTCATATGGTTTTATGTTCTGATAATAGTATAGAATGACTTTAAATGTTTTACATATATTTCCTGATGACAAATATAGATGTTAGTAACAACCTACAGCTGTTGTATTGATGACATGTTGTATAGTTTGTTGACAATGTTTAATAGAAAGACACTTGCAACAGAATATATTATATACAAATGTAAACTAATAAGTACATTGTATTTTTGTCGAGCCTTCGACTTTTGTCGAAAAAGCGAGACATAGCAATCCTACATTCCGTCGGCGTCGTCGTCGTCGTCGTCGTTGTCGTCGGGACGGCGTCCACAAATATTCACTCTGTGGTTAAAGTTTTTGAAATTTTAATAACTTTCTTAAACTATCCTGGATTTCTACCAAACTTGGACAGAAGCTTGTTTATGATCATAAGATAATATTCAAAAGTAAATTTTGTAAATAAAAAATTCCATTTTTTCCGTATTTTACTTATAAATGGACTTAGTTTTTCTGCCAGTTAACATTACATTCACTCTGTGGTTAAAGTTTTTAAAATTTTAACGACTTTCTTAAACTATCCTGGATTTCTACCAAACTTGGAAAGAAGCTTGTTTATGATCATAAGATAGTATCCAGAAGTAAATCTTGTAAAAAAAAAATTCCATTTTTTCCGTATTTTACTTATAAATGGACTTAGTTTTTCTGCCAGTTAACATTACATTCACTCTGTGGTTAAAGTTTTTAAAATTTTAACAACTTTCTTAAACTATCCTGGATTTGTACCAAACTTGGACAGAAGCTTGTTTATGATTAAAAGCTAGTATCTAGAATGAAATTTTGTTAAAATTTTGTTCCATTTTTTCCGTATTTTACTTATAAATGGACTTAGTTTTTCTTCCAGTTAACATTACATACAGTCTGCAGTTTAAGTTTTTAAAACATTTATTAGATTCATAAACTATCCTGGATTTTTACCAAACTTGGACAGAAGCTACTTACAATCAAAAGATAGTATAGAGAGGAATATTTTTATTAATTTTTTTTCCTTATTTTTGTTGAGCCTGCGATTAACAGCAAAAGTAGGCGAGACACTGGGTTCCGCGGAACCCTTACGAATTTTTAACAATAATGGAGCAAATTTTACATGTAAAAAATGCACATTGTATATGATGATGCAAGTAGATAACATTTTAATTTGATATAGAGATACATTTTTTTTGTACCTGCTTTATACAAGAGAACTTATAAGATTCTCAAGTTTGCAGAACTTGTCCTTTTGGCTGTGCTTGGTTGCTATCTGACATGTTTGTTTTTCTTTCTTTCTTGTAGTGTTAAATCAGGTTTTTTTTCCTCTTATGAATTATTTCACATTTTGTGGGTCCTCATTGCTCTTAAACTTCGTACATTATTTGGCCTTTTTTAACTTTTTTGATTCGAGCATCACTGATGAGTTTTTTATAGACGAAATGCATGTCTGGCATACAAAATTTTAATACTGAAATTAATGAGTTTAATTGCATTATTTATTGTTTATTTATGTTATTTAGTAGCAATAAGATTGTTTGAATTTTATACTGGTACTTATAAATATCTTGTCAATCTTATCTTTTTCATTTTGTCATACTGGATCTTTTCAGCTTCCTAAACTGTTTGAGTTTTGTTCGTTAATATAGTCTGTACAGTAACCTGCAATATTGTTCACAGCTTTATTTTTGGTTTTTATGGATAGTTGTCTCATTGACAATCCAGGGGCCTCATTGGCCGAGTGGTCTAAGTATTTCATCGACTGTATCATTAGCCTGTCAGCACTGAGGTTGTCAGTATGAACCCAGAAGGTGTGTTCCAATCCAATCTTAATTGTTTAGGATTGCCAGTTTTTCTGCCAAAGGTCAGTGGTTCTCCCTGTGCACTCCAGCTTCCTCCACTATTAGAAAATACCAGTAATCGCCACACTTTAGCCAATAGTGCTGAAAGTGGTATTTAACACCAACAATCAATCAATCAATCTCATTGACATACCACAACTCTTTATTTTTTATATTGCCACTCTATTGAGACACATGATCTGCCGGACAGTGGGCCAAACCATTCTTTGTTGTTATTTCTAAATGTTGTATTCTAGGCTAATAAAAGCAGCAATTGACAATTTTAAAGTCTTTTACTTGATCTGGTCAGGGATTAAATCCTCTGAAGTTAAGCCCACTACCACTGTGGCAGTAACCAAATGAGAAGCTAGAAAAAAGCAACATTTAGCCCTTGAGACAGCTGCCTTTGAATTTAACTACAATTACTTGTTGGGTCACAAATGATAGACAAAGTATTGAGTATACATGTGTATAGACATTGCAAAATTTGTGATACCTTTTTATACAGAAACAATACATAAATAATTGTTTTAGCCAAATAAACAAAAATTTAAATTAAGCAACTACCATAAACCACAAAAAATTCTGTAAAAAAATATTAAAACTATTTTTTTAAAACAAAATTTTTTTTTCTCTCTTTCAAAGGTTTTCTTTTGCAGTACAAAAAAAAATGTATTTCAAATTTTCTTTTCTTTGATAAAAGGTCCAGGACGAGCGAAAGGTTCACCTTTAGAGATTCAAAGGTTCTGTACATAGCATCAGTATAAAAGATGAGAAGGGGCCTCGGTGGCCGAGTGGTCTAAGTAGTTACTTACTACTGTAATCACTAACCAGTCAACACTGAGGTTGTGAGTTCGAACCCCGCTCGTGCGGGTGCACTTCAGACTCCAATCTTAATTGACTAGGATTGTCAGTTTTCCTATCAAAGGTCGGTGGTTTTCTCCGGGCACTCCGGCTTCCTCCACCAATAAAAACTGGCCGCCACGAAATAGCCCAAAAGCGGTGCTTAAAAGTGGCGTTAAAACACAAAAAATCAAAAAAAAAATCAAATAAAAGATGAGAAGTTATTCAAAAATGAAAAGTTCCCTCCCAGAAAAGACCAGTCAAGCACCTCAGATCCACATTAATTTGAAAACCTGAATGATCAAGTGAAGTTCAAATTTTATTGAACCTTTTACTTTACAAATTTTAAACAAGTTGTGAAAATCTCTATTCTTAGAAGACTGTTTTTTTTTTAATCTTGTGTAATGTTTCTCAGCTTTCTTAGTCCATAGAACTGTAAATTAAAACCAGCTGCAATTTCTTATTGAATGGTATGCAACACAGTGCATATTTTAAGTGTGAATGTTAAGATAGTATTTTTGATAGAATTGACATAACTTCTACGTAATCTATTCCTCAGTACAATAGATGTATTTTAAAGTACATCTCAAAATTCTGCACTATTATGTCATTGTGTGTAGTCAAATTTAATGGATCAGGGCTCAATAGACTCCATATAATGTTATTTGTTTGTAAACTGAGTTAGCATACCACATAGTTATAATAAAGCTTCTCTCAATTCATTTCATATTTTAGATCACATTCAGTATAATAAAAGTGTAAAGAGGTAGTGAATTATTTATTCATAAGTAATAAATTTTGTTATCTTGAAAAAAACATTGAGTTGCTATGAAATTACCCATCAATAAATTTTATTTTCCTCGCCACATGACTAATACCAAAATGATATAAAATTCTCAAACATTGATTTTTCAAGACAAAAACAATGAATAAAGATAAAATACTATGCATAGGACTGTTAAATGATCGATTTACTCTAGGGTGATATTCTATTTGATGCAATTTTTTGCTATGACATTGCAAATAAAATTTTACAATATTTTTATTGAACTCAAGGTCTGACCGATTTAACATCATGAATTTGTCACAGATATATATTGTAAACTTGTGCAGTTGATTTATACCACATGGTTTGTCTTCTGATTTTACTTTCGTAAAAGTAACTCTTTTTATTCATAAATTTGTTTGGGGGTTGGGAGGTACCAGGTATCTTTGCATGTCTTTTCTTTATGTAAAAATTGATTAAAAAAAAGGATAAATAACTTACAATTTCCCCATATCAAACTCCTAGAATTGAGTGATAGCTTCTTTGAAAAAGGAATTTGTACCATTAAAGTCAGAATACATGATACTGTTTATTTAAAGAATCAAACAATGTCCGGAAAGACACACTGACTAGTAGGAAATGAATATCCCTACAAATGTCTTGTTATAAATTTAAATTAATCCTATAGTGTAAAATGATATATGCAATTTATTCGAAAATCAAGGAACCCTCTTTAAATACAGAAAGTTTTTTGAATCATTTTGATATAGATTCTATGAAATTATTGCACATTACAATGCTACCTAGAAAGAGCTTAAATGAAACTGCTGTTGTGGAACTTTTTCATTTTCCAGGAATAACCTGAAATAATTGTCAGAGTGAATAAACATAAATCTGTAGTTCTGTACACAATTATTATAATGTAGATTTATTTACCATATAAATCTTAATGCATATACTATTATGTGATAATTATTTAACATCAATCATCATTACATTTTAGTCTTGTTAAAAGTAAGGCATAGTTACAGTTAAGGTTCAAATGTTACATGTATCAGAATGTATGAAGCAGGAAGGAGCACTCTTTGCTCCCCTTTGATTGTTAGGAATTCAATGTAATTGTGATTAGCAATTCTTGATGTAGTTATGATATTTTGTGTACATTAACTGAAGTGAAAGTTAAGTAATGAGGAGATAAAAAAATAATACCATAATTTTGATCAGTTGACTTAATGATTGTCCGCAGGCCAGTATTACAGTATACAATTAAAAGTGGAAAAAAATATTTGACTTTTGAAATCAGAAAACAGGATGATCCAGAAGACTGGCCACAGAATTTTTCAAGGGTTTACTTGAAAACAGGCATCTTCTATAAGTCAGAATTTTGACACAGATATGTACATTTTCATATCGGAATTTTTAAAAGCTTTTGTTTTATTGTGTTTCCACTTTTGAATACAATATGCCAACATCAAACAAAGTTTTTAATACTAACTTTGGTTTAGGGTTTGCTTTACAGTTTGATGGTCTACCCACATTACTGGTCACTCTATCAGTAGACTGTCCTTCATTATACTGTATATATTATCATAGTTACCAAGAGTTTGTATATTCTGTCAACGGTCATTTTAAATAATTACAGACAAAACTACATTTTAAATGGGCCACACATTTGATTATTTAGGCTAAGATCCTCTTATACTACCCACTCCTTTGTAAACACTTCACCTCTCATTAATACCTGTATATTTATTTTAATATTTGTCACTCAACTGTGACAGTACTCTCAATAAGTGATGAATTATTGTTGCCTTGTGAATATTTTATCAATGATTCAGATTTCATCAAATTATTCGATTATTGACTGTCAAATTGAAAATGATTTTTGGTACTTATAGTTTAGATGTATTACATGATATAAGATAGATTTCCCATACCTTTATAAATTACATGATACAGAAAGATTTCCCATACTTTTATAGATTGATTGTCAGTCAGGTGTGAAAGTAACCAAATGTATGAACATCAACTTTTATAATATCCTGCTTTTTTAATAGACTTTTGTTTTGCCTAAGTACATTTAACCAAGTTATCTCGGATTAATCCCTTTTCTAGTATATTAACTTTGGGTGTTCTTGTGATGTTGTTAAGTACAGCTAGACCACAGTACATTTATAGGATTCCAAATATCCTATCCTAGATATTTAAAATTTGTTCAATCAAGTTGGATTTTTGCATTTCTGAGTTTGTAGTACTAGAAATATTTCCCTCAGAGAAAGTCTTCTGTATCTCTTGTGTTTGTCCTAAGGTTTCCTTTTATTTGAATGTCTTTACTAACCACCTAGCCAACTTCATGCAGGGTTGGACCCCTTGCTGGGTCAAATAGAAGATCCTTGGAGGCTGCTTTTCAACATAGAGTCATTGCTATGTGTTTCTTTATTATACATTGGCTAGAGGTATGGGGGGAGGGTTGAGATCTCACAAAACATGTTTAACCCCGCCGCATTTTTGCACCTGTCTTAAGTCAGGAGCCTCTGACCTTTGTTAGTCTTGTATGTTATTTTAATTTTAGTTCATTTATATGTTTTGGAGTTTACTGTGACGTCCATTTTCACTGAACTAGTACACAATTTTATTTAGGGGCCATCTGAGGACCACCTCCAGGTGCAGGATTTTTTCACTGCGTTGAAGACCCATTGGTGGCCTTCGGCTGTTGTCTGCTCTTTGGTCGGGTTGTTGTCTCTTTAACATATTCCCCATTTCCATTCTCAATTTTATCATATATGGCATTGAGTAAGATCAAAGACTGGTAGGCTTAAAGTCAGAAAAATGTATCTGGTAGGGCAACATGTCTTAATCCAGCAGACTGTTACTTTGCGAACCATTACATTAAAAATCTGTTTTAGATTATTTGTCTAATGCAAAGCATGGTTCATATTCATTTCACATTAACATATTCTTGTCCTTATATGCAAGTAATATTTGTCACTGGACATGATATTCCAATACGTTATTGAATTGGTCTATGACTTTAAGAAATGAAGTTTTTAAAAATGCATATGAAATTACCTGGAAATGAAACATTCCTTGGAATGAAAAAATTAAAACTCATGGTTTTTGAAAGAAATTATTAGACATTTGATAGTGAAACAGATATAAAAATCTCAGCTTTAAAGACTAATTTTAGATTCAACTGAGATATTTCATGTCAAGGTTGAAGTAAAACTTATAAATGTAAGCTGACATTACATAACAAAAAACACCTGAAGAAAAAATTGGTCAATTAATTTTACCTGAAACTTTTCATCATACAATGAGAGACATATTTGCTGGAACAGAATTATTTGTCAAAGAAAGAAAAAAGAGCTTCTGAGCAACACAGTTTAACCTATCAATTCTGAAACATAACGATGTGTATACCTCTAAGGATTGACAGTTTTATAAAACTTTTAGTATTTATTTATTGAGTTCTATTTTTGTTATTGCTTGCTTGAAAAGTATATCAAATATGATGAATTTATGTCACTGATTAACAAGAATGTTTAAATCCAAGATAGTTTTTAAAGATTATGATCAAGGGTGCAATTAAAACACATAAAAAATAAAATTATGAAATGACATGATGACCACTTGAAAAAGACAATCAATGATGATAAAGATGTATAAGTTGTAAATTGCAGCATCTTGACCATTCAGAAGAAACATCCATAATCCAATGATGTATTCATTTATTGAAGACTGTTGACCACTAGTCCCACATAAACTTTTATAATTTTAAAATCTGCCATGTTTTTTGTAGGTGAAGAAGCCAGAGATTTATTCCTTCATTCAAGGCTACCAATCACAGTACTTAGTAAAATTTGGTAAGTTCACGAAATAAAGTGTATGAAGAATTTACAACATTGAAGGCAATTTGTTAATTTGAAGGTTGACAGTCCTTTTCTGATCCAAATAAATTATTCACTTGTGTTTTAAAATTTTACTTGGAAGTGATTTCTATAAATGGAACAGTATGTTCTTGTGAACAAATTAAAAAAAACATGATATCAAATTAGTCCAAGGGATCATATCAATTTTGATTGATTTTTAGTGCCTAATTAGTTTATTTCCCAGAGTTTTATCAGTGCTGCTGAAACCACTTGGATAATTTTTACCAAACTTTTCAGGCAAAATGTTTACATAGATTCTCTCATACTTTCAAGTATTTCATTGTAATTAAGTCATAAAAGGTGTAGGGCCACAAAGGACTGAAACTGGTCAGAGTATGAATCATCATTAGACACTGTCAATTTTGTGTTTTGGCATGATCTACTAATTTTTTACTACAGCAAAATAATATAATCTTTTCTTGTACATTTACATGTATAAGATGTAATGGTTTGAGTATTTAAATTTTAAAGTCTACTTTGATAATTAAGTAGTACTTTTTTTGTAACATTTTCATTAAAAAAAAACAAGGAAATACAACATTCTCATCATCATTCATAATTTATGTACTCGTCAGGTCTACATAATAATTATATAAGTAAAAATAATTTTGGCTAATTATTTGATAGTAACCGCAAGTATGTATAATTTTACGTGACATAATTACAAATTTAACCTGGGGTCCCAGAATGATAAATTAGTATTTACTTTGGCCTTTCTGGCATGTAAATATTACTGTATTATAAAAACAAGTATAATGATAGGAACAAAGAAGTAAAAACAATATTTCCATCTAAAAAATTGTAATGGATCACATTAGAAATTGTTCAGAAGGAAGGAATCCATTACAGCTTTTTAAACATTGTTTGTAATTTTTTTTACGAATCTAAATGAACATTTTGGAGTCTTTTAGGTGTAATACCACCAAATCATAGTACGTCACATCCGGTTGCATACGAAAATAGGTCGAAAAAAAATATTCCCTTGAATTTGACAGTTGTAGGTAATTGATCCTACATTTCATTGCAGTAAAACATTTCTGAGTCATAAACATATATCTTGGGTATTTCAAAGCACCATTATTTCTTTATTTGGGGTTTCAATAGAATATTTTGGAAACTTGAGGTTACATGGTTACTAAAGCTTGTACACAGGTTAAAAAAGGGGGAAAATTTGATTGGTTAACTTCCAGTGATGGTTATTTTCTTATATGCAATGAAATGTTATGTGAAATTTTTTCTATAGTACTGGACAGGATAAAACTTTACTCATGCCAAGTATTTCTTTATTTGAAACAAAGATAAATTCTGCACAATTTTTTGAAAAGTGCAAATTTAACAAAGACTAATAGGGGAAAATCAATGGTGGTATTACACCTAATATGGGAAGCTGTACATGCACCTTTGACCTTGTGAGTACTCTCATGTGTTAAAATTTCTTGCTATTTAAGTGAAATATTACAAATAATGAAATGTTCTGAGTGGATTGAGTCTCCAAAATACATTTTATGAGAAAATTTCCTTGAAATAGGACTTTACCATGAATATTAGTTGACAGAACAAGCCATACTTAGAGTCTTGGGGAGCTTTTTCTCCTTATTTCTTATATTCTGCTATACTAGAAAATTTTTCCTAAGAAATACTTTAATAAATATATAGTTTTAAGTAAATGAAATTATTTTTAAAGCAGTAACAACAAATTATTCACCAAAAGAGAAGTTTTTTATGTCCCTCTCTGGAACGCGGCGTAAATTTAAGTTTTACGCAAGGACTTATTGAAACCTCCTTGGAGACAGTAAACTTTTATACGGATAGTTCAAGCAGCTTGAATACTTCAATTAATCATTTATAATAACATTCCTATCATAAATGAGTGAAAGTTACCCCAAAATTTTTATTTATTGGCTTAAAAAGTAGAAATTTTGAGGAAATGAGAGGTATAAATGGACCAAAAGAGACTTTATAAGGAAGAATAAGAGGTCCATTAGTAGTATTTATCATCCTAAAGTCATCTTTTGTATCATATTCAACTGTTTGTAGGCAGATGAGATAAATATTTGATCATTTATTGGTCCACACTATATTCTATCATGATGCGGCTTGGTTTGAATTTTTCGAAGAAATTTTGCTCGAATCGCTGTAGATGTCGTCTTACATTATACTAGATTTTTCTCAAACTATTGAACTGATTATGACAAAACTTGACAGGAATGCTTGAAATAACCAGTATTACAAAGGAAAAAAGTCACATTCAGTTTATTCAACAAAAAAGTCTTCTTTAGGTGTAATACCACCAAATCATAGTACGTCACATCCGGTTGCATACGAAAATAGGTCGAAAAAAAATATTCCCTTGAATTTGACAGTTGTAGGTAATTGATCCTACATTTCATTGCAGTAAAACATTTCTGAGTCATAAACATATATCTTGGGTATTTCAAAGCACCATTATTTCTTTATTTGGGGTTTCAATAGAATATTTTGGAAACTTGAGGTTACATGGTTACTAAAGCTTGTACACAGGTTAAAAAAGGGGGAAAATTTGATTGGTTAACTTCCAGTGATGGTTATTTTCTTATATGCAATGAAATGTTATGTGAAATTTTTTCTATAGTACTGGACAGGATAAAACTTTACTCATGCCAAGTATTTCTTTATTTGAAACAAAGATAAATTCTGCACAATTTTTTGAAAAGTGCAAATTTAACAAAGACTAATAGGGGAAAATCAATGGTGGTATTACACCTTTTAATCAGAAAAATGAAATGAAACATTATCATGAAGAAACTTTCCAGGTATTTTTGACAAAGACAAAATCTCTATTTTAATAATTGTGTTTTCGTTATTTCAAATCCATCACATATCTACTCCAAACTTAAGGGTGTATTTTTTGTTGAAGACGGAAAAAATATTTGTAAGCTATCACATTGTATTACCTTTAATGCTGTGTTTATATAAAAGTGGTTTTGATCCTTTAATTATTTATTTTTATTTCTGAATGAAGTGGTTCTCTCTAAAAAATGTACTGAATTAAAAGTTAAGTAAGTATTTAAAATATAATCCCCATTCTTTATAGTTGTTATCTTGTTATCAGTATTATAGAATTGATGAAACCAAGTCATATAATTGCCTGATATTTTTCAAATATTTTACAAAAGAAGACATAATAGTAGCATGTTTGAATATTTTTTTTTTACATAAATCTTAATTTTTTTTACAAAGATCTTTTATAAAAAAATTTAAGAAAAAAGGAAACATGAATGTATTTGTCTTTGTTATAAAAACACATTAAAAAGAAAAGATAAACAAGATAGTCATAAAAAAATATAAATTAAAGAACAACAATTCTTTACCTAAAAAGATGAATAGACAAGGAGTGTTCCACTAGAAAACTTTACAAAAAACTGAGGATTGAGCAACACAAAACCTAATTTAAACATGGAATAATCTTGTGTGTTCTTGAATTTAAAGCATTTCTATTCAAACACTGACACCAATCATGTTGGTCACCATGTAAAATTTGGGATTATTTTAAAACAAGGAAACTTTCATCCCGGTAGCTTAGTACTTGGTACTTGTATGCAAATATGGATATATTTGATTATTATAATCAAATTAATGGATCATTGATTGTTAAAAGATAATAAAAAAACCTAGGAATTCATTTGAAATTAAGTGAAGTATCACCAGCGTAGTAATTCAGTACATTGTTTGGCATGAAAAACAGCATTTTACTTATGATATTTGCAGTGATTAAATAATGGAAAGCATTTGAAATTAAGGAATGTATATCCCTCATGTGTAGCTCTGATTCATTGTCCGTGTATAGCTATACTTTTAGGCCTGTTTGATTACTGGTATTTACAAATATTTTGGTCTGTTTGTGAGCATCACTGAAGAAACATTATTTGTCAAAATGCAAATCTGGTACCATTGAATTTAATAAGTACAATGATTTCTAATTCTGTGATATAACACTTCCAAAGGGTCACTAAAAATCAGTGAAATATAAGATTTTTGTCAAACTATGGTTTAAAACCTGATCTTGACACTTTGAAATAAAAATTCTATAAATATCAACTATATATTTACATTTCATGATCATTACATTTTAATATGGACATTTAGTTTAGTATAATAGAGAACAGCTGAAAGATAAAATTCTTCCTTTCTGGATAATGTTTCTGATAGGGCACCAAACTTCAATGACTTCAGACCTCCTTATAAAATATTAACATAATGAATTTTCACAAGGGATAATGGTCATTCTAGTGACTGCCCTGATAAGGGCACAAGGTGGAAGCACGTCATTTGTGTACATTCCCCTCAGCTTTCTAAACACTTTCCGATAACAATCGCTGTTCATAACTTGTAAATATTTAAATGGAAAATAAAACAATGAACTTGAAAGGGGTCTGTGGAAAGATAATCTGAGATAATCATCCAAAACTTTTGTATTGTAATAATTGACTTCTGAACAGCATGTTTAGGTCTTTAATTTCTACATTAAAAGGTGTGATCAATAAAGTACAATTTTTATAAATCTCTGGCATAAGAACTTGCAACAGGTTTAATTGATTAATAGCATGCTTTCCTTTAAAGGGACCATCTCAAAGTTGGTTTTAGTTTGGAAGTTATCATAACTTTGCATAAAAGTTTTTACTCGAAAGATCAGCTTAAAAAACAAGCATCTTAGCTGTAAGAAGATTGTGTTAATATCAACTAGTATTTAAAAGTATTTACTATAAACCCAAATAGAAAGTCAGCATGAAGGTTATAACACGTAACAAAAAGTCCTTAAACTAACTTATAAGACCCACTACAAACCTTGTCTATAACGAAAAGCATAAACTTTCCTTTCCCTCCTAATATAAACCAAATGTGAAAAATTTGGAGAAGACAACAAATTACTTTAGTTAGTAACATAAAACAGTTAC